TCATCATTTGTCTCCTAGACATCCTTGGATTCTGGAGTTCTTTTCTGAACTGTGATGTCCAGATTGGTGCAACTTTCTGCACTGCAGTCAGGAAGTCCTTGACTACATCATGAATTCTCAGAGTTTCAGAGATCCCTTCAGCTTCAGCTTCAGTGGCAGCCTCATCATACTCTACAAGCCAACCTTCCCATGAGGTGGCATATCTCATAGGTCTCAGAGCTATCAGATAATGGTCCCTGGCCTTGTCTCTTTCCACATCATCCTCAATTCCAACAGTGGTTCTGAGGAGTCTGATTTGCTCTCTCAGTTAGGTACCAAAGCGGCAACATGTCTTCTGCAGATGCTTGGAGACAGTGGATTGGATGTGTTTGACCAAATCTTTGCGACTTGTTTGTTCTCTCTCCCACTCTTTCCGTTCTTCCTTGTATGCCTCCATCTCCATCTTCCAGTTTTCCAAGTCATCCTTGTATGCTTTGAGGCCTGAAGTTGATAGGTCTGACAGGAATCTGGATGGAATGCGATCGATTGCTTCATTGTTCATGGAGGTAGCTTGGATAGATTGTTGGGTATGGCTTCTAGTGCTCATGGTGTTAGAAGAAGCAGTCTCAATAGTGGGGATAGCTGAGAGTACAGGTTCATAGTCTGAGACTTGAGGCTTGAGTAGAGCAGTAGGTCTTTCCATGAACTTCTTGAATCCATCAGGATCAATCATGTCTCAGATGTCCGATGCATCTGCCTTGGATTGTAGTTAGGTGAACCAGGAGGTCCAGTCCTTGCTGGTAGCCAGAGTGGCTTGAGTTTGGTTATTGATTGTGTTGGTAGACATATTGGTAAAGGCAGTGAGACTCTTAATTGTCAGATTTGATGATATCTGAAGATGTCATGGTGACAGAAAGATTGAATAAGGATGGGTTGACTGATTGTATTCTGGTGTATGTGTATGTGTGTGTGAGGCTGGGGCCTGACATCGGTTTTGATGTTCCTTCTCTGGGTATCAAGGCTGCACAGGGCATTAGCCACTGCAGAATCACTAGCTATATATCCTCAGACAGTACTGGTACAGACACCTTCCTAGTCCTCCTCTCCAGTCCCAGATGGGATATCCATAAACTGGCTTACCATCTGACAGGAGGTATACAGAGAGCTATGATCTTGTTCTCCTTGCAGTAGTCCTGGAATTCTACTAAGCAGTGGCTCTCGTGCCTGTCAATAATAAGCAGTCTGTATGCCCCTACAGTATGAGTCTTCGTATACATGTCGAAGTGCTTGAGCCATGCCAGTACGAGATCATTATTAATCTAGCCAGTAGGAGAGACCTCAATAATCCAGTCGCGAGGTAGATTGTCGAACTAGGAGGAGATAAGAACCTTGCCTGCAAAGATGATGAAGGGTGGGATAACATATCCTGTTACGCTGATACCTTGTACCAGGATAACCCACTCATGATCACCAGGCTGTAGTTTCTTCTGTTTTCCAGGTTTCTCTGAACCTGTAACAACAAGCTGAGATGATATCTTGCCTATTAGGAAGCCAGATTCATCGAAGTTGTAGATGTCCTCATCTACAATACCATATTTCACCTTCATCGACTGAACAAGAGTGAACCAAGGCCGGATAACCACTGGATCCTCGCAGGTAGCTCGCTGGCAATCGTACGGACAGCTTCATCGTGTTCGCAGCTCAGGTATGTGCTTGATAAAGTTATCAACCCAGTTCTTGCCAGTAGGCTTCCCACCACGCTCTCTTAGCAGTCTGTCGGCCATATCTCGTACATCTGCCTTCGATACTGGCACACCATATAAACTCTCATCAAGTATATGTTCTACAATCACCTCCTCTTCTAGTTTTGTCAGGCGCTTTGAGTTTGGCTTGCAGTCGCATCGAGAGCACATTCCAGCATGTCGCCATTGTATCATCCTTCGAGGAACAGTGTAGATTGTTTCAGTATGCCGAAGGCTTTTGATTTGATTTTTTTGGATATCAGAGATAGCAAGCTGCATGTCACCTTCAGTATAGGTTCTCTGAGCTCGGTGTTGTTGAGACATTATGTGTTGTTGCTGTACATGCGCTTTGGCAGTGTATGCTGGGGCGCTCGCTTGGGTAGGGCGCTCGCTTATGAAACACGTTACCCCTGTATTTATGTAGGTTTCTAATATAGTAAAGTGATAAATATGTTTCTAACACGTTTTATTAATAGCAAATAAACGTTTATATAAACTGGACCCCGGCCTAGTCTATGGACTTTCAGTGTGTACCGGATGTCGATTGGTATTATTTACAGCGGAGTCCTAGTGTAGCAGGAACAAACTGCTACTTGTGCATGCGCATTTTGAGGCATAAATTCTTGTTGAATTTCTGCGGGAAGGATGTACGAAAAAGACGATAAAACATCCAAAACACGACTCTATACCGAGCATTATGCGACAATGCCTCGTTCTATCAATGGCAAATCCAGGCACCCCAGCTGCGTCGTGGAATATAGTATCGCATTCTATTCCCGATTGTACGTTGCGATAGTATGCCCACTGATGCCTCAGAAAACACAACTCCCCTCCCCCCTACATAACTGCGGCCTTCTTCTTCTGCGCCCTCATAGCCAACACCGTCCCTGCCTTCCCAGGCGCCCGCCCCACTTCAACTACAATCATTCTAACAAAGTCTCTGCTTACCCAATAACTGCTATGCGCTCCCAGCATAGTAAGATATTGGATCTCCAGCGGCCCGCCGCCATATTTGAGAAAGTAGTCGATCTGACCATTATCATTGAGCAGATAGGCCCTCTTCTCCGCAATCTCTTCTCTCGTGAAATCATGCGTTTCGAGTTCGACATTCGAAGGCAAGCGTGCGACAGAGGCTCTGGGATGGGACGCATGTACTGTGTCGGCTTTGCGAAAGGGGTTCGAAAAAGCAAGCCAGGAGCCGTTAGCACTGGGTATGATGGCATGCTTCAACGACTCGGAGTATGAGACATCAACAGCGGCGTTGAGGCGGTACGCTACGGGGTCATACGGGTTAATGATGTTGTAAACGTTGTCGACAGGGATGCATCCGTATGTTCCTTGCTCGCCAGCTACGCCGGGTGTGGCGTACGAGTCCGCTCCTGGTTTTTCTCTGTCGCGTCTGGGAAGGAGAGCGGCTTTCTTGAGCAGAAGAAAGAACCCTACTGGACTGCCACAGACGAAGAGATTGGTAGTGTTGAAGATGAAATGGTCGCGTGGTATATCTTCTTCTGGATATGATGGCTCTCCAAAATGAGGCGGGACATAGCTTGGCTGTTGACTGAGTATATCTACTGCCATAACTGAACCAAGGCTATGGGCTATGAGGTGGACACGTCCCCAATTGGAAAAGCCTGGGTTGTTGAGACACCATAGCCGGTAGATGCGGTTGGCTTCATTGATACACGCTGCGACCATTTTCCTGTTGTGGGTCGGTGATAGATAGTATGGAACATCCAACATGACATCACTAATGATGCCACGTACAGACGGTAAACTGTCGGGAGTGATATCTTTTAGTGTGAATTGATTGATAGAAGGATCCTCCTCTGCTTCGAGACCGCTAGCTTCGTCTTCTAAGCTTACGCGTTGACGCCAGTTAACCTTCTGCTGTCAGCTGAGCGAGCAAACATCACCGCGAATGTACATACCGGGAGGACCATAATGCCCCCTGCATCTTGTCGGAGATGGCGTTTGACGTCGGCAGCACCGAGCTCGACGTTAACATCGCGTCTGAAGGCGTTGATTGCATGGGTGAAATGAAAGGTCTCGATTCGTTCCGATAGCTTCTGGCCGATACCATGAATAACCAGTACGAGATCAGTGACTTGCGGTCGCTCAGACAAAGCCAGCTCGAGATCCAGCTTTTGACGTGACTGTGGTGGTATCCCTGCTTGGGCGGAAGAAACACCTTCCCTGGCTTTCATTGCGGTGGTCGTCTTCTTGCTCGGATGTAATTCATCCCACAAGGCTTGGTCAAAACCTCTCACCACGCGGATTCCTATTGACCTCCCTTTACGGATGTAGTTAGCCAGCGGCCTTCGGCCGTAGTAATCCGAAGGTTGTAAAGACGGCCGAAGCAGGTAGGCCTCCTTTTCATTTGCATAGATAACGCCAGCGTCACGGTAAAGCCTCTTCCGCCCATCGTGACTGTAATTTCTGTCCCCAGACGCTTTGTTGTCGGGCCCATCAGGCCCGGTAGAGATATCAATAAGGTCGCAGGCATTTTCCACAATTTCTCGGCGCTCTGTCTCTGGATCAACTTCTTCCTCAGGTAGCGTGTTTTGGACCAGCCCCGTCTGCATCTGTGCTGAAGAAACTGGTCGGCTCTCGGGTTTCTTTTTGGACTTTTGCGGCCACAGCTTGTGAAGAATCTTCATCTCTCCCGCCGCACCAGCCTCAACCGCGCTGTCCAACTCGTCTTTCCATGTCTGTGTCCAAGGCTGTAGATCCAGATATCCGACCTCAAGCATGTTGGCAACATGTACCTGCAACAAGAGTCAGGTAGAACAAGACAACTAGTTCAACACAACACCCACTTCTACAGGGAGCATCGTGTCCTTATAGAACCATGACCCGCGCACAACTTCCGCAATGTCATTGACAGGAGACCAGTATATCGGTTCCATGCGAAACGACTGAGCGTCCATTACAACATGATGCAGTCGGGAGACTCCCACGGGCACCTTAACAGAGAGGAATGTCTTAGGGATTGAAGCTGGGCGAGACGACCCCTTGTCTTTATGGAAATGTGACGCAGATCCTGTATCATCATCCCAATTATAGCTATCCGTCTCGTGCGTAGTTGGCCGTCTGGTAGCATCGATCGATCCATCCCTCCGTGCATAATTTACATCCCTACGGGAAGGCGCCCGAATGAATGGTGTACCGGTGATGGTAGGAGACATCACTGGCGATCGCTCCACAGAATCTTCCCGACGCCGCAACGGGGACGAGCAGCTGCCTTGTAACCTTGCACCGGAACTGAAGCGGCTGTCACGCAGGACTTCGGCTGATCGAGAATACTCTCCTCCTTTACCGACAGACCCGGTTGGAGTTATATCTCTGACTTGTGTAGCTCCAGGGATATCTTTGCCAGATGCTGACTCTCCTCGCTTTCTCTTCAAACGCGCGATCGCCGGGTCGAAGACGTCAGGCGGAGTTCCGGTAGACGATGCCTTTTCCCCAACCTCCTCATTGTGTTTCAGAATCTTCTTGCGCAACTCCAGCCACGACTTCTCGATGGCATCGTTGTCATATTCGGAGAACGGTCGCGGTGGATGCCTACGTGCCGATGAGGCTGCAGTCGCTGGAGGCGGGAGAGGTGACAAGGGGTCATCGATCGCGAGCGGCGATGTATAGAAATAACGGACTGGTATTGCCGGTGGCGCCTCTACAGAATGTAGGACCTCGCGAATGTAACGGTTGGCGGGAGTCGTCATGGTAGTTGGGTCGTAGTCAATCCTTGAGGGCTGGCATGGGATCACCGTACATCGTTCGCAAAAGATCTTTTGAGAGTCTCCATGGCAGAAGTCGATTAGCCACGAAGATGGTTAAATATAGGCTGTCTTGGTGTTGAGGCAACAGTGTTGTGAGACTCGTGGCTGGTGACGTCTCCCTTATTCCAGCTCGACACCAGAACATGTGAACCACCAGTCACGTCACGTGATTCTGGCTGCCATGCCCAGGTGTAAGGTCGGGTCGTAATGTATATTCTAGATTGTTTCTAATTGCATTGTATGTAGAATAAGAGGATTTAATATAGAGATTTTATTTTAGGATTAGTCTACTTGGTAGCGAGTAGCATCGATGCATATCATTCCCAGGTATAGAGATGGAAATGGGTTTATAATGGAGAGCTCATATTTAGAAGCAAAGCTATGGATATTAGATCTTTGACTTTGACTTATCAGCATTAGTAAAGGATACGATAAACATTGCCGTAATCCTAGCCCATTATTCGGGAAGGATATCATTTCCATTATTGAACAGTCGAGAGAAATCAAGAGAAACGTATATTCAGTACTAGGTCAATCAGTAAAATGGTAAAGTCAAAAGCATCTACCATATTCGACGGATGTAAAATTGCTGAATAACCAGCACCAAGTGAGCTTCGTTGTACTGGAAACTCCACTCGTGCGATCAAACAGCACCAGAGCGAGTTACTCTAATATTGTCCAATAGCTGTGTACCCACATTCAAAGTTTAAAGATGGGAAGAAGCAGTGAGAGTAGATGCAACTGCTATAGCAATTGTCAATCCTTTACAGATGAAGCAACTCAACGCATAAGTATTACTGCAAATGTTAACAAGAGAATCAACACGCCCCTCTCATTTGATCTGGATTCATACAGAAACGGAGATGTTGAGGCGTTTCCAGGTTTACCTTGACTACGCGGGACAACTCGCTAATGAACCGCTCGCACGAATGAAAGCTGGAATGACCTGAAGTCCACCCAGGCACTGCCAGAGTCAACTCAGGTTACGTTAGTAGATAGGTAGAAATGTGAATGCTCTTCATCGATATCGGTTCATCGACCTTACGAGCAAATAGTATTATAACCTCGGTCGGTCCAGTAGAAATAAGATGACTGTTTTCAATATATCGATTTCTGCCGCTAGAAATCCTTTTAGTAGACCTCTCCTTCGGGTGACCCGCACCAAAAACGTACGGTCTTTTTTACGACTACAAAGTGATAAACATGAGGTAACAACTGTGACTGACAACAATACTAGCATGAGATAAGTCAAATAAAGAAGTGGTCGTTTCTTAATAAGGTCAAACATGTATGCATATGAGCGGAAGAGTTTTAGGGGCACATATATAAAAGTAAATGTGGATATACAACAAGCATAAACATTGTTCAAACTACATATCAGCTCATAACTATCTAAACACTCCCAAATCTATTATCATTAAAACTCGTCATCCGTATGTCGTGCCTTCGTAACTCAAAAAGAGAGACATAACTCGTGACGCGCGCGCATCGAAGGCGGGGAATCATCTATCTATACTACAATCATTAGCGCAAACTGCCGACGTTCCCAGACCGGGCCAACCGAAGAAATCAGATATCCTCCTTTTTCAGATATGTACGTCTACAAATGCTTTTTCCTTTTTGCCCCGAAATTTCACGCTGTCACCTCACGGAGCAAACTTGCCCTGTTTAAACAGGTACGAGTCGACGACGTCCTGCCCAGCGCGAATCGCCCACTCCACAGTCTCCATACCCTGGAGACCACTGGCCCAGAAGGTCTTGCTGCAGCCCTGCAGCTTATGCAACCTGGCGTATGCATCATTGCGAAGGGCCTCGGTGCCGAAATGCGGGAAATAATCCCACTTCCGGAATGCGCGGATGTCCGCAGGACAGAGGGGTTCGGCTTGCGCGCTTATGTCTCGAGGGTCTTTGTTGATTCTTGATAAAGTCGTTTGGAGTAGACTTCGTGTGGGTTTCTCCGGCACGTACTCGTTGTCCGGGCCCCAGGACCAGGCTACGGAGACGTTGCTGCGTTCCGAGAGGCGGAGGACAGCTACGGGTTCGCCTTCGTTTGGAGGCGGCACGGATGCGTTTTCGGCTTTGGCGATGTAGGAGACGCCAAAGGGTAGGGCTAGCTCGACCGCTGATGAGAAGTAATTATGTATGGCAACGTCCTTGAATACGTCGTGTTCTTCCTCAGTCAGATCAAGCCCGGCCCGTTCAAGGTTGTCGACCGTTGGCGGAAATGCCATGATCAGAGCAGCGCACTCTTGTGTACCCCACTTGTAAAAGTTTCCGTGAGGCTTCGTATACTTCAGGACCGGGTATTTGCCAGTGCGGTCGATGCAACGAATCTCGTGGCCCAGTTTGATAGGTGTCTTGCAGAGCTTCTTCTTCGACCATTCCACCCACACCTTGTGGAAATCTGTGTAATACACGTGGTGCTGTCCGATGAAGCCAGTAAGGATGTCAGGTGTCATGTACTGGAGTACGTACAACTGGTCACGTGTAAGTATATGCATGCGTGCTTCATGCACGTTGGAGCAGCAGGGATCTACACTCACAGCTGGGACTACGTTTACATCTCCGTAGCCATACAATGCCAGTGGATTAACAAGCAATCGTGGGAGCGCTGTAAAGTTATTGGCTTTGAACCACTGTACGCCGGGCACGCTGAGCTCGTCGGGAACGCCTTTCTGCTCCCAGATCAGTACTGATTCGCAACATTTCCAACTTGTTTCACATCCACAACGTACCTTATAACCAGGTGCACTCAATGGTGCAAACACTTTGTACCATGTCTGAATATATCGCGGAATCTCTCCTGCCATCTGTGCCACGAATGCCAGGTCTAGCGGAGGAACAGGCTCAATTTCACCGGTCGTATAGTTGAACCGGAACTGCTCTCTATCTCCAGCCAAGCGGAACTCTTCCGAAGGAACACCGGCGGTATTGAGGACTTTCAGCGTTTCGGTGTACGTTCCATTAGAGTAGAAGGCTGCGCCCATGGGGTGGAAAATTCCTCTAGGAGGGTGGTCAGCAGAACATCCAGCCGCGCGCGTTCGGCGCGCCAAAGTGTCAGGCGCCAGGATTTTGACGCTGTGGAACTCACTGTTCGTCGTAATAGGACTGGCATTTGCCGCCGAGTTCCGGCTGCTTGTCGAATATAACGGCTTTGATTCCTCTCGCTTCCAGTTTACTTGCTGCTGTCAAACCCGCTGGTCCAGCTCCAACAATGCACACAGGTGGCCTTGGTGGTCGCCTCGGCCATGCTTCTGCTGTCAATGAAAAAAGCGTGAGTTGGAGACACCACAGTGTGAAGAAATTCGTCATGAATGCAGGTCGTAACATGGTAACACGTTCAATCTGAAGCGACGAGCTTCTGCGAGGTACCTCGCGCCTTTATTATTGTATGCAACATCAACCAGGGCATCGTCCCATCTTCCTTTTGCTCAGTTATGGCCAGCAGCTGCACGGTGCGTTGGCACTCGAGTCGAAGTTGTGACGACTAGCGGCCCAGGCTGGTTGCCGCCTCAACGCCATCCAGGCAGGCTTCACTGCTGGATCAGGCGAGGAGCCGACGGAAGGGAAGACCGGTTATGGAAAAGCAGGGGAGCGGGTCGGATTGCGGAGGATCAGATTAACGACCATGACGTTCTGGCATGGAATCTGATGCAGGGCTGGTCCTAAAAATGAACAGTGCTTCGAGATATTTCGACAGTGCGTCCCCTAGGGGACCGGAATAATTACAGCGTTGGTATAATAATCCAACCAACTCTTCGTCTGAAACCGAAAAGCGACAAACTTGTCCTGCTGGAGTCCACGACATATCTTTGCTGGGTGGCTGGAGGCAGTGCTATCGACAACAGCTCTTTTGGGGAACTTTGGCGTGGATGCGGTGAACAACTGGCGGTGGATGTCATTCTGCATGAGCCATAGGATTGCATGGCAGCGTCCGGAACCACGGTGCCGAGGTTTCTGTTTTCAGCCCTAGCCCCCAGCGCCACGTTTTGGGCATCCTTCGCAACCGTCATGGTGGGTGGTTCCTGGTTTTCGATACAAGTCGAAACATTGCTCCGCATTGCGTCGTGTCAAGGAGTCCTGTCAATGTCGATATGCGTAACATAGTATGTGCGACATGGAGATAGCCCTCCCTCATGATTCAATTGCTTGCGGTCCTTCATGCTTGCGACGTCGTGCACAAATACGGAGCCGGCACTGGTCGCCAGCTCACCATTGCCACGACGTCAAAAAGACTCAAGAGAGAGGTCGGGGCGTCGAACGTGCGCTGGCGAATAGACTTGCCAAGAGGATGGACCGAAGACGAGCGAGATGGAGAAACGTGACTGACATCATAGGAGATCTCTATCGCCATTTACAGTTGATTGACTTTAAGCGCCTGAGCGATAGAAATGCTGCTCAAAATCGTTTTCACGACAGTGCTGCCAAAAAGCTGTTGGACAGAGATGATGAGGGGTAAGAGACTACGATAGATCCGATGCAAGGAACGGGAGAAGTGACAGAGAACATATGAGAAGCGGAGGAGGACAAAGGTGTCGCGAATTTGGAGAATTTGCACATAAAGGAAGCAGCTAATGTCCATGGAAGGGGTGCTTCCTGCCCGATCCACGGCTCACGTTGCATAGTCACCGAAGTTCATCTTGGGCCAGCATTCGTTTCACATATCGTTTTAATTGTTGATTCCCTGGATTCCTGCCTGGATATCTGCTCAAGGACATGGAAGTAAAAGAATTCGTTGGTCGTACGAAGAGTGGGTGATGGGACACGAAAACGCCTCCCAAGCTGAATCACCTGAAGCAACACGCCGGAATCGCAAGTGTGATCCCCGAACACAGCTGCCGCTCGGAAGGAAAGAAAAAAAGAGAACCATTAAAAGGCTAATACATGAACGATTTCTGATGTTCAACGTCGACATCGAATCGACTCTTGTCAGTTCTGCCACTCATCGGTCGTTCGCTTGGAACACCCCCAGTCGCTATGCTCTGATCCTGCGACGTCAACACCCGGGTGTCCAGCTCCATATTTTCGGGGTCATCAGGTAGGCGGATCTTCTCTCTCTGTCGGCTGTGTCCGCTGCCGTACGGCTTTGAACGGTTACTTGATCCTTGAGTTCGGGCGCGAGAGGGAAAGAGGAGTGGCTTCAATGCAGGAATACATCCACAGATGACTCCCACATTGGTTTCGACAGCGGTCCAAACCCAAATCTGGAACCCTTCCCAGGTGACGTCGTAGGTTCTGAAGAGGACGAAGTGGATCCAGTATGCTCGGAAGCTCCCTGCAACGACGATGACGCCACCCACACCAAATAGGATCATAAGGCCGATACGTTGGCTCCAAGGAAGCGAGAGACTGATCAGTGTCGGGATCGGTAAGGCGTAGATCATGAAGTCTGTCACGACGTTGAGGGTGCTCTGGACTACGAGTGGCGGACCTTCGGGAATGCAGTCGCGGTGGTCGGCCAGCAGTTTCCAATAGCTGCTAATGGGACTGTGAATGTCAACGTATGAACAGCAACAACCGAATAGGACAAACGTACATGCATTGTACCCATAGTGCGATGAGGAAGACGATGAAGGCAGCGAAGACGAGAGCGAAAGTGGCCCATACGAGCTTGCGGAACAAGGATTTTTCGGGCGCGATGCGGAAATACGACGTGAGGATGGACATTTTGACAAAGCTGGAAGCAAGCACAAATAGTGTTTGGCCGGCCATTGAAGCCTAGCAGGATTAGCATGGCAGTGACATAGGGGTGTCGGCACTGTTCCTCACCTTTCTGCCCGTCTCCATCTGGTGGATCTGCAGGTCCCAGACGTGGACATTCCAGCCATACATCTGTGTGGCCATGATCACGAGCGCAGTCGTTCCAGCAGAGAATATCTGGTTCATTAGTTTTCCAGTTGGCAGTGAAGCACTGGCGGCTGGGAACTCACCACAGCAACAACCATGAGCCAGTCGTCCCACCAACTCTTGTGCAGCCATCCTATCCGCACCCACAACCTGAGTGCCACACATATCACCGCTATAGGTAACAGCGTCAACTCCACGATCATCAATCCGGGGCCTCGCTCGACGGGGTCGACGTAGTTCGGCTTGGGCCATGTCTTCCGAACCTCTGGTGGTGGGAACCGCATGATGACAGGTAGGAAGTACCAAGATGACACTTCAATCGACGCCGGGATGTGACTGCGGGGGAAGCATCACTCGAGGAGGAAGCACGGGCGAGGACAAGCACAGATGTATATATCTACTCGGGACTACGCCCCATCATTGCCACTGGGAAGCGATCGATACCGCGCTCAGCTCAAGCCACCTAGGGGATACGACCCCACAATGGCGAATTCTCTGCTGATGGGGATATGCAGAATCCTCCTGTCTAGGACGTGACTGGAACATGCGCAGATGGCAATAAACGTGATCCGCAGCAGGTACTGGACGGCTGCTTTGGAGACCACCAGGGGACAGAGCGTCCAGGCACGGGGCCACCCTCGTCATCGCCGGTGACTTGCCAGAGACCACTGTCTCTCGTATATGGAGGTAGCCAGTACGCGCGATCCTGTCTCTCTCTGGGTGTGGATGGAGACACGCCGTTGGGTAGACGTTGGGAAATGTGGCGGGGCGTATGCGCCAATGGGAATACGGAGACTGGGGCAGTGAAGTGCGGGCGCTTCTGGCCGCATCTCAGGTACCGGCAATCCCGTCGAATAATCCTCCTGGTACGGCCCGTCCAACGTCACACTGCAAATGGTTTAAATAAAAAGGCACAAAGTCTCCAGTCCCTATCTCCAAACTTGTCCAGTAATGCTCTCCACTGCCATGGGCTCTCGCTTGACTCGCCTTCGTTGCTCGGATCGAGGTACTATCGACAGCCAATGAGAATGCTTGACGAACATCCATCTTCGAGGCAACAAGTTCGTCGTAGCAAATAAGCACCTTCTAAGCTTGAGGGACCTGAGGTACGGTTCTCCTTCGTTGACGCAAGTACGAACGACCCGACGAAAATACCACAGAAGAAAAACTTCCTTGCGCACATCACCTGTCAACCGCGTCGTTCACGACTCTCTGGCGGCGTCAACAGCCGCGACAGTGGTTCATCAGCTCGCCATGTACGGGACCATTATATTTCCAAGACCGTAGTCCTGCGCTAGAACAGAGTTTCATTCGATGCCTATATTCATAATATCCCTTTGATATAGCCATCGAGGCGCGGCAAAAGCCGGCCGACGGTCCTTGACCGAGAAGCGAAAATCACACTCTCCCCGCTCGGCAATGCGAATGGCTTATCTGTCGATTTTCTGATGAATTCGCGAGAATGCAAGAGTATTGATTTACTCATCAGCCCTACTCGGTGGCGTCGAAGTGGCTTCAGGAAGTCTCTGCCTAACCGCCCGGGCTGAGACCACCATCTCATCATGCCAGCTATGCCTCCTCAGGACGCTCCAGCCCGGATTATGAAGGAATCCACAAAGTACTTAGGACTCGCTATGCCAATACGGCCTTCAGCTGGCCATAACGTGCCACTGTAAACACGATAGTCCAATAAACCACCCGTTATGTTTTTGCCCGCATGCTTCGCCATAACGTGCATTCGTCTTCCAGCCTAAGAGTCCAGTCAAAAACGGGGGACTATTGACGGCATCGGAATTGGGCAACAGTGGTTGGTGATTTGCTTGTGGAATGATAACCGAAGGAGTGAGCAATCAGCAATGAGGGATGCGCAGGTTGGCCTCCTTGCCACAGTTCGAAACCTTTCGAATGCCCGCCCACTCGCGGCAGTTCATATATGTTCTTGTAGGCACATGTAAGCCATAAAATCGTTAGGAAGGGTACATGGGAGAAGATCGTATGTGGAGTGACACTTCGAATCTCAGTCAACATTCTAAATGCTGATCAGCCATCCTATCCGCAAAGGCACCACCGGATTGTGGTTAATGATGCAACCGCCGATTATCCCGCCTAAATACGTCTGTCCGTCACGCTGTGTAAAGCTAGGTTGAACACGTTATCCTTCACGCATATCCATTGCTTGCGATATGTTGAATACTAATGCGTGCTTCAATTCTTGTCGGTCATAACATCCCAGTGAAATCTTACACTCCTCTCCCATCACTCGTTCGCGCCCGGCGCCGGCCGAAAATATTTACTCGGCACAAACGGCATCTTACTAACCGTCGCTTTCCTCTTTTTACCCCGAACCACGACCTGCACCTCCGTGCCACTCTTATGCATTCCATCCTTGATATATCCCATCGAGATATTCTTCTTCAGGGTCGGCGACGGACACCCAGATGTAATGACACCGATCTCCTCGCCAGATTCCGGATCCAGAATCTTCGCACCTTCTCGTGCGGGTGCACCCTCGACAATGAAGCCTACCCGACGGCGGGAGACACCGCCTCCTTCGGATTTCTTCTTCAGCTGCTGCAGTATGACCGAGTCGCCGTGGAAGCCGCCCTTGGCGCGCCTGTCTTTGCCTATGATCCAGGAGAGCCCGGCTTCTACTGGTGTCGTGGTGTCGTCTAAATCGTGGCCGTACAGGCACATACCCGCCTCCAAGCGCAAGGAATCTCTCGCGCCCAGCCCAGCGAGTCTGAGCTCATCCTTCGCCGAGTCGAGGAGAAAGGCGGTGACTGCTTCCGTGGCATAGGGTGGGATGCTGATTTCGAAGCCGTCTTCGCCTGTGTAACCGCCTCTGCTGACGAGAACTTCGGTATCAGTGCCTTTGATAGTGGCGTGGGTGGACTGTCCGAAATACAGCGTCTCGAGCTCTTTTGCGTGTTCCTCGTCCAGGACTCGTGAGAGGATGTCTGCGGCTAGGGGGCCCTGCAGAGCAATCAGACCCTGGTTATCTAGGACTTTCCATTCGACGGGCTGGTCTGGGTGGTTCTTCCCCCAGTCTTCAAGCTCCGATTTTAGGTAGGCCAGATCCTTTTCGCGGCAGCCGGCGTTGGTGACGACGTAGAACTTTCCCGGGAGACGGGTTATTATAGTATCATCGACGATGCCGCCGGTTTCTCTGTGGAGGAGGGCGGAGAGGGTGGAGGTGTACTCGTTGAGGGAGGAGAGGGAGGAAGGGGTCAGGGTTTCCAAGAAGGCCTGCGCACCGGGCCCCGAGAATTCATGCTGGACCCTGTGTAGCAATTGGGTTAGTTTCATGTTTCCAGATATACTGGATATGATGATCGAGCACGTACATATGTCCAACGTCGAACAAGCTCGCCTTCTCTCGTGTCCAATTATGTGACTCTCCAATGCCCAGATCGCTGTATTGTACCGGCATCTGGTAACCTCCGAACGGCACAAACTTAGCTCCATGTGAAGCATGTAAGTCATATAGTCCCGTCTTGCCGAATTTCTCAGGTTGCGCCTCGGAGGACGCATATCGTACTGGAGAATGCCGGAATAGCGCAACCCCGCAAGGTCTCAACGGCGACGAAGCCGTGCATCTTTGCGCGAGGCATGGTGGACGAATCTGAGGAGCTCTGAGACCACTGAGAGCTGGTCTCAAGGCAGCGACGCTCCTTTTCGTAGCCATTGTGGGAGGATTGGGATAAAGGAGGAGAAAAGGGAAAGCAATGGTGAAGTCGAGACGTGGTATGGTGTCTTGAGGCCCGGCGTACCTAGGTATGACATCGATCGTCTCCGGCGGGAAAGCACAAGACCAATGACGGCAGAGGAGAGCTGCAGCCCGAAGGTCCGTGCACAAAGAGCTCAGGCCGGGTGTATCAATTGATGGACGTACACAGTATAGTCCATCCCACAACATCAAACACGGCTAACCTCCGCACTGCGTCTGAGACCTCATCACCCATCCTATTACCCTTATATACCACCTAGAGGCAAGCCGGCACTATGTCCAAGGCTCCGCGGTATATCCTCGTCTCGCTGCCAACGTCCATCACCCCGTCCCACCACACCGAAGACGCACTCAATGCGCTGAGAAGCACAATCGCCGACGACGTCGGTACAACCTACCCATTCACGATTCCAACGTTCAAGATCGGAACGCTAGATGCGTTAGTGCAACAGGCGGATGATTTGGCGAAGCTGCATACAACGTGTGAGGGCGTCGTGGGCAAGGTGGGGGATAGCTTGAGAAGTCTCTTGGATGGGGATGACGACAGGGTGCGGCAGCAGAAGACAATAAATGATAGTATGTGTGAGATCCGTGGTGTTGGTCCTGGAGACACGCTGATGTAGGCAAAGAGCCGGTGGAGCAGTATCTCAGGAATTTCCAGTGGAATAAAGTCAAGTATCGGGCGGATAAGCCGATAGCAGACTTGATTGATTCATTGCAGAAGGTTGGACACATGTATAGAATCTCTCTGAACATTGCGAAGCTGACCGAGATAATCATAGGAGATCGCAGGCATCGACAACGACGTCAAAGCCAAAGTCAACCAATACAACCAAGTCAAAACCAACCTAGCAGCCTCGCAACGCCGCCAGACGTGCGCCTCCCTCCCCAAAACCCTCACCTCCTCATGACCTAACATCTCCCCAGCGGCAACCTCGCCACCAGATCCCTCACGTCAATAGTGCAGCCCTCACAAATAATCCAAGACTCCGAATACCTCGACACAATCCTCATCGCCATCCCCAACTCCGCCGTCAGAGACTTCTACAAAACCTATGAAACGCTAGCGCCCATGGTTGTCCCTCGCTCCGCCACGCAGATAGCCGATGACGACGAATTCACCCTCTTCTCTCTCGTAGTGTTTAAGAAGCATTCGGCGGAATTCGTGCACAAGGCTAGGGAAAAGAGATGGACGCCGAGGGAGTACAAGTACAAGGAGGGCGGGAAGGAAGAGGAGGCGAGGGAGGTAGGGAGGTTGGAGAAGGAGGAGAGGAAGCTGTGGGGGGATGCGCTGCGGTTGGCACAGACAGGGTGGAGTGAGGGCGCCATGATTTGGATTCACGTGCTTGCTTTAAGGGTATTTGTCGAGACGGTCCTGAGATACGGGCTGCCGCTGGATTTTGTGTGTGCTCTGGTACAGGTGAGTATCTCCATCTCGGTTTCCTTCGCACATTTGGTTTCGTTTTGGTGAGCTGCCAAGCTGACCATACCAGACTACATCCAAACAAGCCAAAAAGGCAAAAACCAACCTGGACGCAAATTACTCCTACCTTGGCGGCAATGCATTTGGCCGCGACAGCAAAGGCCGCATCAAGAAGGACGATCAGGCTCTGTCTACGGAACTGCAGGGTACCGGCCATTTGGGCGATCAGGAGTACTCTGCTTATGTCTATTATGAGTTTGAGATCGTATAGCACGCGTAATGGTATGGTCTTTGGTAGTTCAAATCCGTGGGTTGACCTTGAACTTGGTGAACTGCTGATTGTGGGATTAGTCGTGTTCGAAATTCCGCTCCACAGTCCAAGGTTTCTTTCGAGTGGCGTTATACGCAGGCTCCTGTTGTGAACCATATCGATTTCTACTCATGATAATGCCTAATTCAGGAGACCACCTCATCTCGCCGCATCATCATCCGTATCCCCCTAGGTCAACCTCACGCTCCTATTCTTCAACGCCTCCCAATCCTTCCTCTCATACGGCACATACCGATCACTCCCCGGCGGCAACCAAAAAAACACATCCCCATTCCCCACCTTCTCCAAATCCACGCCCTCCCTCTTCAACCTCCCCTTCTGCATCTTCAACGTCCCCGTATACTCCAACGCCGGCGTCACCCTCAAAAACAGCGGCACCGCATACCCCGGCAACACGTCCCTCACGTACCGCGCCAGCGCCTTGGTATCAAACGTCTCGAGCGTGACGCCGTCGGCGAGCACGATGCTGGCGGCGCCCGCGCGGCCGTCGTACCCGGGAACCAGCACGCCGTAGACGTTTGGCTCGGCGATTTGGGGGAATCGGCCCAGCGCATCGGCGACCTCGTTGGTCGAGACGTTTTCGCTCTTCCAGCGGAAGGTGTCGCCCAGGCGGTCGGCGAAGAAGACGCGCCCGTCGGCGTCTACGCGGTGCATGTCGCCGGATTTGAACCAGCTGGGAATGTATTAGACTGGTGGTGCGAGAGAGGAAGAGTCGAAAAATTGAAAAAGGGGATACAATCAACACAGGGCAGTGGGGAATATAGAGAGGGGAGGAGGGGCGACCCGCACTTGAAGAAGAGAAAAGGAGTAGGAGAAGATAGTCACTCACAGATCCCCCTTCTCAAACACATCCGCAATCCGCCTATCCAACGTCGCCTTCTCATTCTTATAATACCCCGGTACCGAATCCAGCAACTTCGGATCCAATCGATGCAGCACCTGCCCGGGCTCATCCACCCCGCACCGAATAGCAAACCCATCCCCATCCCGTACGATATCCTCGGTATCCACATCCATCTTAACGCGCACCTCCTCATTGCCGTACCGCCAGTGCCAAATCAGGCCCCGCAGCCCAATACAATTCGCTGTAAACGGCCCATAATTCTTGTTGAACGTGGCGCCCAGGCCATCCGTAGCGGCATACAGCTCATTGATGACGGGGATGCGGAAGCGCTCGCGGAACGGCTCCCACACATCGGGTCTCATGCCGTTGCCCCAGGCCATCTGGACGCAGTGGCTGCGCTCGTGCTCGTTGGCCGGCCCGTTGAGCAGGTACCGGCACAGCTCGCCGACGTACTGGATGATGGTTGCGCGCGACCGGGCGACCTCGGGCCAGAAGGTCTTGTGCGAGAATCTGCGGCCTAGGACGATGGTGGCGCCGGCGTGGATGCAGGGCGAGGTGCAGAGGCCGTGGGCCGCGCCGTGGTACAGCGGCATGCATGTGTACATGCGGTCGTTGGGGGTCAGTTGGAGGTATTTGGCGGACGAGTAGCCCGTCACGAGTTCGCGGCCGGTGGTGAAGATGACGCCTTTGGGGAGGCCCGTGGTGCCTGAGGTGTAGAGGAGGGAGCGGACGGAGTCGATGGTGATGTCTTCGTAGCGGGCTGGCGGGATGGGAGTGGTGTCTGTGAGGGAGGCGAAGAAGGAGGGGGAGTAGTATTGGATTTGGATGGAGAGGCCTTCGAGCTCTTCGCGGCAGGGCTCGAGGTTGTTGCGGACGTCGGTGTCGGCGATGACGAAGCGGCTCTCGCAGAGCTATACCGATTCCAATGTCAGATGTGGATATTCCGCGAGACGATTGGAGGATATGGATACCTTGACACAGTGCACCAAACCAGCTCCCGTCAGATTCCAGTTCAAGAAGCTAATCTTTGCACCTATCGCATCCAGGGCGAACCAAAGCATATAATACTCTGGGCTATTTCCACCATCAATGGCCACCATCTCGCCCGAATCGACGCCCATATCTTTCATAAGCCAATTCGCAACTTGGATTATGCAATCGTAAAACTGCCGGTACGTCCAGGTCTGGCCTTCGAAGATCAGAAAGGGGTGGTCCGGACGGTGGTGCAACGCGTGGTCTTCCAGAACGTGAAACAACAGCACCCGCTTCGCCATGACGCGGCCGGTGAGGTAGTCGACGATTTCCTTGCTCGGGGCGAGCCCGGCACGTGGATTCCTGAGGTCATGGAGAATGTGGAACTTGGCGTTGAGGTAGGCGGCTATGGCTGCGGTGCCGGCTGCGGTGCCAGCTGCGGCACCGACGATGATGGGCACTGGTGAATGGTTAGAAAGTGTCTATGAAAAGTGACTTGTGAGGGTTTGAAGTGGAATGCTTACGAGCCATAGTTCTAACGCTTGCTACCAATAAGTGGATGGCAGGGAAAAGAGGGAGGAGTGTCCAGGCTATCACCTATATCCAAAGCCGCGCTGATGGAGCGTCGTCCGCAGGATCAGTAAAAAGGACCTTTCGTCCCAAGCTCCGTCCAGCGACCAGTGGCAGATTGTTGAAGGATAACACGTCCATCCTCGGTATTCAGCTCTTGCACGGCTGGACCCTGGTCTTTCTGTGCTTCTGGAGGAGTTTGCTGGTTACTCCGAGGTCGAGTGTAGGATCGAGTCAGCGAATTGGGAGGAAGACGAACTGCACTGTTAGGCCTCTCATTTGCCCGTTTGGAGCTTACCCCGCATTTTGCTAATAGCGGAACGGAAGCGGAGCGGTATCCATGCCCTGCAGTAGTGCCATTCCCCTATGGTGCGAATTTGAAACAGGTGAGGAGTAAAACGGGTGGTTATCTTGATCCTGGATGTCAAAGTGATTCAGAATCCAAGGTTCCTAAGAGGAGAAATCTTCGTTAAAATCAGCAATTCTCCACTATTCTAGGACGGAAGATAACAATTCTGAAACACGCATTAAGTGTGTATAGCCTACCTGATCACATATTGCCTATATGTGTTGAAGGCTAGCGTGGGCCAGCGGGTTGGTCGAGACTGGTAGTCCTCCAAGCCAGGTCGTTTCGTGAGCAAAGCAACAATAGTTCACCCTGTGTATGTTTTAGAACTGAAATATGCCTCGATCATGCAACAACTCCATCCCAATGCATTCTTCCTCAAAGTAAAGGGAAAGGAAACGCCGCTAATGCTTTGTCATACGTCCATGTCTCATCTAACCATAACATCCGGAAACAGAATCTGAATCACCTCATCCAGCAGTGTAAACACAAGATGAGTACTGCGCACAAGTCAGCGAAACCGAGCAAAGACTCCATCGTAAAACAGTCACTCACTTAAGTCTCGAATTATTGAACGTAGCAAGCAACCTCCGACTCGCCGCTTGCGCGTTGCTCCTCCCGACAACACTCGCGGCCAACTCAGGAATCAGCGTCGCGAGCACCATACCCGCCTCCTTCCTGCTCTTGTCGCGATCCGCCTGCGTCCTTTCGACAGACTGCTTCAGTTTGCCGTTCGGCCAAACGCTATCTTTGAGCGTGTCTATGTATCTCGCGATGCTATCTTCCGAAGTTAACGACGCAAAGCTGTCGCGGACTTTGCGCTCAATGGTCCCGCCCAGGAGTTGATGGAGCACTACGACTACAGCTCGTCCGCGGAGCCAGTTGTTCTCGCGGTTGAGCTCAAAGGTCTCAAGGAAAAGATCGCATATAGGCTTCACGAAAGGCTCCAGCTCCTTGTTTTCGAACGCAAGAAGCTCCGCTTCCGCGTCAGCGTCTGAAGCGGGTTCAGGCACTCCGATTAGTGCTGAAGCACCACCTGCGGCTGAGCCAGCAGCTCCGTTCGCCGCGAGCTGGTTCGTTGCTGCGGAGATGAGATTCTGCCCTGCCACTGAGAGTTGATCGAGCACGGGAATGTTGCCAAGGAACTCTTCCATGCCGTCCGCCACGGAATTGTAGATGCGCGTTACAAAGTCACGATCGGCGGTTTCGGGTTTGCCAGTGTCGATAGGTGAAATGGCTTGTTGTGAGAGGAAGGCTCGCAGCTCGCGACTTCGGCACACTGCGGGAATGAGAAGAAGTTCCTGTCATATGTTAGCGTGCACTGGGCCAGTTTCTAGAATAGAATAGTATCGACGTACCCTCAGATACTTCTCCAGCCCAACACGCCTCTTCTGCAAGAAATCCTTCTGTAGTTTGAGCACCATCTGCCGTCGAGGGAGCTCCAGATTGCGCACTTGCGGGAACTTTGCACGGAGCCGCTTATGCAGCTCATGGAACTCACTGTACCGTCTTGTGATGACCCATGCAGCGGCAGGCATATGGTCACCAGCACGTCGTCGGACCTCAATCACGTCTGCGTTTCCCTGTAAGCAACGTTCTTTTCCTGATAGCCTTCAACTTACACATGGCGTACTCTCTCCCGTCTGCTTCTGTCCCGACCATGATGGACTGAATGAAGACGGTAGCACGGCCGTACAAACTGTTATCGCTCTCTTGAACAATATACTGCTGCCGTTGAAGCTCTTTACGATGAATCTCTCTCTGCAAACTAGCTTTCGACTTTCGCAATATCCTCAATTCAGCAGCATTATTTGTCAGCTCGGCCTTTGACGTCAATGAGTCCACAATAGACTCTTGCCTCACGAGCCGCTCAATTTCAGCGGTAAGCCTGTCAATAGCTTCTGCGAGACCAAGATCACCAGGCGCAGCTTCGTGTATCTCATCTTCCTCCGGATTGGTCTCGGGACTACTCTCCTCCAATTCGTCTTCGAGGAACTTCTCCTCCTCACCGAAGAGATCGTCGTCGAAAACGCCACGCGTTTTTGGTTCTCCCACTAGGCCCAGCGATGCTATGCTGGGCACATCTTTGTCTTTCTTCTGCATCTTTGCAGGATTTGGCGAGGAGGTGCGAGGCAGATCTATAGACGCCCTCATTGAATCGCTGTCAAGCGGAGAGTTCAAACTCGGTTCATAGAACAACGAACCTTCGGGTTCTGCACCCATGATGTCCGTCAGTGCAGCCTGCATGGATTCCACGACTTTAGGATTGTTCGCGCCCGATCTCTCCGGCTCTGATGCCAGGCTGGTTACAGAGTTCGCCAGGGGATCGGTGTCGTATTCGTCATCGAACAGAGGCGGTCGGCTCGGCGCATTGTCGTCCAGCGACCGACGTGCTGGTGCGTTCAACTCGTTCACCCTGCTCTGGCTCTTTAGATCCGACGAGGATGCGATGGCTCTGCGAAGATCTGGTGGTTGAAGGTTGTTTCGTAGCCCTGATTGGGTTCGTGGTACCCTTCCGACTGGAGGTGCAGAACCAGTATCTGATCCCTGAGCGCCAGCTTTGGTGCTGTCGGGAACTGCGTCCCCATTGGCAGCTTCGTCCATGGCAAGCCATTTGTAGTATAAGTCGGATTTCTTAAACCTACGGAAATGGGGTTCTTGCAGCTCCTCGTAGACGGCCGTCTGCGCGCGTAGAAGAGCCCGTCTCGCTTTAAAATACTGTTGTGGTGTCGCGGCTCGGCCTGCCTTCAGAAACTCCTTTACAGCTTCGCGTGCTTCCTGCAATGTCTTGAACTCAGATCGCGACAGGTACGCTTCGTTAATCTGTGCAAGGTCTGCTCGGTCGGAATCCGTCCAAGCAGGTAATGAGCCCATATGCTCAAGGGGTTCATCCGTATCCTGCTCAAGCGGATTTCGGAATCCATCTACGACAATCCAAAACTGAACAAGGCGCATCAGGTTCAGCCGGTCCATATACTCCATGAAGCAAGAGAGGCCCGAGGCATCATAGAGCACTTCCCTGAGTGAAGCGTTTTCAAATTTCGATCTCGTCCGTCTGTGTTTGGGTCTCTCCTGCGCAGCGACTTTGGCACGAACGGATCCACCGGCTGACAACGAATCGACTTTCTGGTCCAGAATCTTCTTCGCGGTTTCTAGGCGACGGATATAGATAGGATCTTGGCCTTCAACAGCTGAATCCTTTCGTAACTGTATTGCGACTTCGCTTCGGAAGCGGCGTGCATCGGCCAAAGTATTGGTCTGCCTGATGGCTCGAATGAACCTCTCGAACCTACGTTCGTTATCATGCGGGCTGAGCTTGGGGAATTGTACTTCTTTTGGACGTTTCGGAGACGGTGGAGCATGTTCGTCGAGAGCAGCACGCAGTTTGCGAACGGACTTTCTTTCTTCAAGCACCTTACGTCCCTGCAGATGTGAGTAGTTGTTCCTTCATGGAGATGTATCCTTACATAGCCTTCCATCAGCTGATTCCAAGTGTCCGGGTCTGCAAGCATCTGCACCACGGGGAACAGAACCGCGCAAGCAAGAATTTCCTTAATCAGGACATTGACAGCAGAGCTGGTGGTCATATTCCTCGGCATGATCTTTGGCAGCAGTCGAGCAACGATGCTCCGTAGGTGCTGTTGCTGAATAGTTTTGGTATTCGAATAGGCCAAAGACGCGGCCGGATGTAGATGTCCGCCCTTATATTTGGCAGCTATGGCCAGATCAAGCTCTTCAGATTCCGTGACATTGCGGGAGAGTTTGTGCCCGCGGACCAGGCGCTCTGCCTCATAGCTCGCCCTAAGATGGTCCGTTATGAGAGGTATGACCTTTGACACGGCCGTCGCTACCATGTCCACCGCCAGTAGACGGTCCCTTATATCACCCAATGCAGTCCGCACGGCGCGGTCCACCTCGTTTACAAACGTTGGACTCTTGCTTATGTTCCCATACCAGCCTTTGACGAAGTCGCGGAGAATAAGTCCAATTAAAACGTCGATGCTGTCAGATATAACGAAGGACGCTGGGTAAACTGGCTCCATCATATACATCGAACGCTTCGTTAAGGCTTCCCGTTCAACCTTCCACTTGTCCGGCGCGAGGAAGGCGAGGCGTTTCGGCCCATAATCTACCTCCGCATCGGCTGGCTGCGGTTTGGGCCAGGCCGTCGTGCACATAAGCCATGTTTGTAAAGCGAGGGTTGCGACGATGCCGGCGATGAACGCGTGGGGGAGGAAGCGGAGGGCGGGCTGCCAGTGGGTGAGGTAGCCCCAGGCGATAAAGACGGCGACGGCGGAGAGGACTACATCTCTGCGCTTCAAGGCCATAGCTCGGGATCCGGCATCTTGTGGCGTGGCTGTTGTGACTTTGAGTTTGTGATCTCATCCCCCCCATTTCGAGGTCGTTTCGGATCAAGACGTCGGTGCACGGACCGACATCGTTGCATTCAGAGACATGGGAACCTCCGAAGCCTTGAGCACAAACCCAAAAACATCAGCAGTTTACATTATCCTTAGTCGGTACATACTGAGCCATGATTTGTAGTGATCCATATCTACTGACCAATATCAATGGACTCAGTTCGCAGCAGCCCTGGTTCCAATATGAACCCATCAACTTGAGCTCTGGAGGCCAATAGTGAATTCCCCAACATGGCATACTCCCACATTGGGCGCATTATGATTAACTATTCTTCCCTTCCCTGTATTCCCATGACCCCTCTTCCAAACCACTCACTCACCACTGCAAACCCATCTTTGGCCCTCTTCAGCGCATCCATAAACATGTCATGCCTCTCCGCGCTCTCCACCTGCGCCCTTCGGATCGCCCTCACCGTCTGATTTTGCGGCGCGCAAACAGGACACTCGACGCTCTCGTCCGCAACATCCTCGCCATTACTCAAACACCGCTGATGGAATGAGTGCTTGCACAAGAAATGTACAGCGGGAAGCTCGAGCGGGGAACTGCAAATACGGCAGCGCGCAGCTTGAAAGACGACGGGTTTACTCGCCAGGTTCGCGAGCTCCGCTTTCTTTGCCTCCGTGTCTGCGCGGAAGGTCTCGATGGTGCGGCGATTCGTCGCAATCTCCTGGCGCTCGCGATCGATAGTCGCAGCGAGGTACTGCTTGATCATGCCCATTGTGGCGACACCGTTGGCACTAAGCGTCTGGATGACCTGAAGGGGCGCCATGAGCCCGTCTTCGTCAATCTTCTTGAGTACGTGGTGTAGCTCATCCCCAGCTTCAGCGAGGATCTCCGGGCTCGACGTGAAGTAAGCGAGACCCGCTGGATAGAGCGCTGGTTCTACGGGGCCGTACTTGCGGAGGGCTCGGATAGCACCTTGGGTATCTCCGGCCGCCGTGTAAGAGCGGAAGATATCAAAGTGGAGGCCCTGCTGTTCCCGCACCAGAATCGTGCCGTCCCGGAAATTGGACAAATGTGAAAGTAGGAGGACATTGGACGTGTCAATTGGGATGTTCTTCCCTTGGACGAGATTTTTGGCTTTATCTTCCCACGCCTGCCTCTCACCGTCTTTTTTTGTCGAACCGGTCTGGAGATATATTTCGAAAAGGGTCGTGTAGAGATCGACCTTGTCATCCTCACGGAGGTTTTCCGACTTGATGCATGCTTCTAGAAAGACAATGAATTCCTGTGGACGGTCCACAAAAGCCGAAAACGCTGTTCGGGGTTTGGGGATTTGATACTCGGGCGCTGGCTCATCGACGTTTGTCTCCACAATCTGGGCCTGACTCATTGCTGATTTGTGGCCACTGACAGAAGGTGGGGATGTCACCGAGTTGGTGTTCACGTACGGCAGTGGAAGCAGCGCTGCCAGATTTTGCACCGCACTTGACGCGGCGCTTCCAATTCCCAAGCCCGACGGTGCAGGGGCGTTTGGGATGACTATGGCGTCTTTCTTTGGACAAAATGCGCCGGTGTAGTAATCGATGAAAATTTGGGTGGTGTCTTTTGGACACTCCTGCAAGAGTACAGTGGCATAGTTCATAAGGTTGCGGTACGCCTTTGAAACTTTAGTATACCATCGGGAGCAACAGAGTGTGACGGCTGACCTCTTCAGGCTCAAGACGCCAAATGTACGCAAGTGCTTCGGCATACCGTTTGGAGTCTTCAATCAAGATATCCACAACCAACTCGTGCTCGCCGTGCTTCCGCGCCAGAAATGCCGCCTGATCATAGTACCCGCCCTGCCGGCACATCGATATGGCTGTATCTAGATCGAATTTCAAATCTCCGGGCGACTTGATGAACTCCTCTAGCTTGTCGACATCTTTCAGCTTGGCGTAGCAGTTCAGCAGAAGTGTTGTATGATCGGACGTCGCCTTGTGATGGTCATGGAGTTCCTCCAGATACTCGATCAGGTTGTGAATCCGTTGAGTGTCGAGGAACTGATTGTGTTAGCGATGTCCCGAGATTGTTACGGCAAGTTGACCGACCTTGCGTATCACTTGTGAAGGCTCAGTGTTGTCTATCGCTTTGAGGTACTGTTGCATCGCGGTATCGTAATCCTGCTTCTGATATAAGTAGTCTCCAAATTTCCGCAGAATGACATTTTGTTGGGACGCATCAAGTCCAGCTTTCTGAGCCAGATTTATCGCGAGAACATAGAGATTCCGTTGGTACAATATCTCAAGCTTTTGAGAGAAGGGCTTCTCATGGTACCGGAAGATCTGGGAAGTCAGCCTGCAGCACAACACTCAATCCCAACATCGACTTACCTTTCCGTCCATAGTCAGAACAAAGAGGTCGCCCCATTCAGACACGATGGCTTTGACTTGCGAGGCCAACTGCTCCTGATGCGCCACAAACCTCAGCTCGGTGTTAAGGAGAGTGAAAGTCGAGGTGTTGAACACGTCAGAGTCAGCACCCACGCCGAAGGTCCTAAGGGCGGTCTCGCCAGGTAGGGCATTTGACTTTGGAGGGGACACTATAGCGACGTAGTCCTTGAAGATGGTTATCATCTGCTTTTCCCCCTCATAGGAGTACGGTGGGCCACGGCCATGATGGCTGTAGTAGTAAATGGCATCGTTCCGTGCAACGACCACGTCGCTCGTCGCCTTATCCACAGCCATGCAACCTACTCCGCAACCATGCTCATCCAGAGCTTTGGCGGGCTGGCCCTGGCCGCGGCCTGATATAACAAGCGTCATGATGCGGGCAGTAGTCGCTATATACAAAGTGGTGGTGTTTCCCTCTCGGAACTCAATGCCCGTTATCGGCTCCTCGGATTCGAAGACGGTCCTCTGACGTGCTCCGCGGTCGTGAATCAAATCGCCCCTGACCACCGTGACTGAGCCATTCGCAAAGCCAACAGCCAGCTGCGATAAGTCTTCCAACGCAGCGAAGGCGGATATCGGAAACTGTTTACGCCCATTGTGGATCGTCAGGGTGCTCTGACACCGCGGCATTCCCGTCTTCTTCTCCAGCTTATCCAATGCCCACACTTTCAGCACGGGCTCGTTGGACAGGTCTTCGGCAATAGTGACCAGCAGTGCAGTCCCCTGGACCTGCTTCATATGCGTGATGGCGCCAGAGTCGTGCGCGCGGAAGGAGCGCACGACCTTGAAGGCCTGCGAAAGGATGCGGACGACTCCATCGGCGCTACCCAAGAAGATGCTTTCCGAACCGGAAACGACGGAGGTAATGGTACCGGGCTACAAGGCGTTAGAGAGGAGTGGCAAGCCGTAGAGGCGGCAGCATACCTCGGACAGGAGGGAGCTCTCGTCGTCGGGGAGCTTGACTGGGGTGACGTCGAAGAACTTGAACTGCCACTGCGAGCGGGTCAGCGATGATGTGGGCAGCGCCATGCAAAGGAGCGAAGAGGGAGGAGTGGAAGTTGCAGTGACATACCGGAGTGACGGCCATTCTTTCCAACCCTCTCTCACCAGTCCATACTTAGTATAATAGTGCGCTCACACAACAACACTGTCGTCGAATGGCTGGAGCGTCGGCGTTCTTCTGGGGGTGAGCTTGGGGGAAGGCGCGACGGCGAATGCCAAGGCCCCGCTGCAGGGGGTTTCCCGGCCAGGCTGTGCTGGTGCGTGTTTCTGCCCTCTTTCGCCTCCCAGCCGCCGCCTTCTCTCTCACACTCTCTCCCTTTCCCTTTCAACCCAAACCCAACTTCATCTTCACCGCTGCCAACCACTTTCATTTCCATCACTCCAGAGACGCGCCCCGTCTCCTTTGCTCTGTTGCGCCGCCCGCCCTCCGCGTCAGAGCCACTTACTTGTCACAAACACGTTTTTGGTTTCTGCGAACACGCTCCTTGAGCCAAACGGCGCGTTTCCATCAGCCACCCGCCTTCACCTTCACCCTCCGCCTTCACCTTCGCCTTCACTGTCGCCGCTTCATCTGAAAGCCCGACGCGTTTTGCGCCAAGTCCTGCGATAAGCCTCCTGGTCGCCTTCTCTGCCACAACAGCATCCTGCCATCCTCGCCTCCTCAACAACACCACTCTTCCACCCAACCGCCAGCACCACACACGCTCAACTCTCTCGCCCAACCATCATCATGTCTGCCGGAAAGCTCGACCAATCCCTCGACGAGATCATGAAGGATCGTCGTTCATCGACCCGTCGCGGCCGTGGCACTCGCCGTAGCGGTGCCGGCCGCCCCGCTGGTTCTGCCGCACCCGTTGGAGGTGTGCAGAAGACCACAAAGCCAGCCCAGAAGGCCAAGGCTGTCCCTACAGGGCCCGCTGCATCTGGCAGCGGTGAGTCCAAGATCATGATTTCCAACTTGGTATGTGCAGGCTGCCTCTTCAAGTCTTCCATCCACAGCTAACACCCAGCAGCCTTTGGATGTTGAGGAATCGCAACTCAAGGTATGTAAGACCTACGACGGTCTTTGAACCTACTCTCCTATCGCTTTTGGATGGCAACCACGGATCTTACACGTCGAGCACGGATCTACCATAGGCGACGAGGTTGTTTTCACCACGATATGTCTGCGCGCTACTTGTCCAAGTACCCAGCCTCACTGTCTGTCTGGCAAACAGACATGTGTAGAGCTACGCGACATGTGGATTTTGGGACCATCACCGTCTCGAACGGAGAGGTTGCTACCATGAGAACATGCTGGCTGGATACCAGTGAAGAGGGTGGTGCTCCGCGTTTGGCGCAGCACCCAGCAAAACCGACCTGTGCATGGCAGTGTCACAACACTTCGGTCAGCAAGGGCAGAGTACGATCACTTTATTGAGGGCATGTTGGCATCGGTTCGCTCCGCTCTTCGCTCTTTACCCTCTGGATCCACCGCACCTCCGTATGCACGTCTTGCCGTCGAAGGAATTGTTTGCCTTGGTGCATGGGCCCGCTCGTCGCGCGTCACCATCCAACGCGAGAATTCGGAACCTACGCTTTTATGGCCTGCTCTCCGGGACTCGTTGAAATTGCCTTATCCTTGCTTGCTGCGAGTACCTTTGACGTGTTGCAACGACGACTAATGAGCCGTTTTAGGATTACTTCACTACCGCCGTCAATGTGGGCAAGCCGAAGAAGGTCTTGATGCAGTATGGACCGACGGGTCGAAGCCTGGGAAGCGCCATGGTCATCTTCCACAAGCCTGACCATGCCGCCAAAGCGGTCAAGGCTCTCGACGGCATCCGCATCGACAATCGACTCATCAAGGTGGAGGTCCTTGTGAGCGCCAAGGACGCCCCAGCACCAGCCGCTGCGCCATCTCTTGCTGATCGTGTTTCGTATGTTCCTTCTCCCCTTCGGCAGGCTGCGGCGCAACTGTGAGACTAACCATGTCACTAGGCAAGCCAAGAAGGACAAGCCCAAGCCTGCCACTGCGACGAAGGCTGCTCCAGCGGGCACTCGCGGACGCGGGAACCGACGAGGTCGAGGTGGTCGCGGAGGCGCGCGCCGCGAGAAGAAGAAGACTGTGGAAGAGCTCGATGCCGAGATGGAGGACTACTTCCCTGCCAACGAGGGCAGCAATGTGGCCGGAGCGACCAACGGGAATGCGGGACAGGCTGCTGGCGGCGACACGGCAATGGACGACGAGATGCTGTAGACGGATACGACGACTGTGTGCCCGAGCAGGGCGGCGGGAAAGTTTGAGATGTCGGCCACGACTCGGATCCTTTTCATTTCCAAGAGTTTTATCCAGCCGGCACAGACTGGTTTGACAAGGCGTCTCCTTCCTGTTCGACTCGAAATTGGAGCGTGAGCATCGAGACGGAGAAAAGAGCAGATTGCAGGACACTTGTACAATTACAGAGCGATGCGGTTCCTTGTCGACTATCGGGTTTCTTCTGGCACTTTTTAATCAAGGATAGAATCAAGTGGCTCTCTTCGGTATGCAAAGGATGGTTTTTGACAAGTGTGAAATCGATGTTTGGCTAACTGTGACAACGCGTGCCTTTTACGAGGACCCGCCTGTTGGCCCTCTCGTGGCCTCGAAGCCTACCTGACGCGGCGGCCGATGCAGTCGTTCCGGCCTCTGGACAGCTTTCAACATTGCCGTCTCAAACAACGGCGAACATGTCTATAAAAATAGGTGTCAGCCACGGCTACTGCTTTCTGTAGCATCAACTGGGGTCTTGTCCTATCCCCGGTGTTCGCTCGAAAGGAAGCCGAAATAAGCTCCTCACAAGGAAAAAGCATTGCCCTATCTGGCAGGGCGGAGTGGGTATTGAAGGAGGAGTTTGGCCCCTCCCTGCTGACAATTGAGGCAAGCCGGGTGAAAGGTTGAAGGAGGCGAGTGCGGGGTCGAGGCTGGGGAGAGGGCGCCACCATCCCCAACATCTGTTGATCCACTGGTATCCGCGTACGTTCATACTGCCCTTGCAACATCACGGATGACACCAAAATGCATATGCCGAGGCTAGCTCCGTTGCCTCTTGTTCAATCGGGTCTTCGCGCGCATTGCCCCCATGCCGCCATGGTGTCGCAGGAAGCTGCTTGCCTCTGAAAAGTGGGGAGCCCCTCATCATCACCTGGGCAGCTTCCCCCTCCCCAAATAAATACAAAGCCGCCGCCTGCGTCCCTCTTCTCCCCCTCTCTCCTAACCTCTCGCTGCTCCTCCTACTTTGCCCATCATGTCCGATCTCGTTGTACGACTCAAGACTCCCCACAGCGGCGAGTACGACCAGCCCACCGGCCTGTAAGTGAGCTCCCCTCTTCGACCGACGATACCCGCTTCCTCGACCTCTCTGCGGAGTTGGAGCTTCAGCAACCTCTCCTTTGCCCCATACAAGACCAATTGCTGACAAACGATTACCAGCTTCATCAACAACGAATGGGTCAAGGGCGTCGAGGGCAAGACCTTCGAGGTCATCAACCCGACCGACGAGACCGTCATCTGCTCCGTCCATGAAGCCACCGAGAAGGATGTCGACATTGCCGTTGCTGCTGCTCGCAAGGCCTTCGAGGGTGATTGGAGGAAGGAGACGCCCGAGAACCGTGGCAAGCTCCTCGTGAAGCTGGCCGAGCTCTTCGAGAAGAACATCGACCTTCTCGCTGCCGTCGAGTCGCTGGACAATGGCAAGGCCATCAACATGGCCAAGGGCGACATTGCTGCTTGTGCTGGCTGCCTGAGGTATTACGGCGGTTGGAGCGACAAGATAGAGGGCAAAGTGGTTGACACCTCCCACGACACCTTCAACTACATCCGCAAGGAGCCTGTATGTATCCGCCCCTGTGCCCTTGCCGTTATCCGAGCTAATCCTCCCCATTAGATTGGTGTCTGCGGCCAGATCATTCCCTGGAACTTCCCGCTCCTCATGTGGGCATGGAAGGTTAGTCAACTGACAATGTCCCTGTGTGAACAGCCAGCTAATTTGGCTTGAAGATTGGTCCCGCCGTAGCTACTGGTAACACTGTCGTCCTCAAGACCGCCGAACAGACCCCGCTCTCCGCCCTCGTCGCCGCCAACCTGGTCAAGGAGGCCGGGTTCCCTCCTGGTGTCATCAACATCCTCTCTGGTTTCGGCAAGGTCGCTGGTGCTGCCATCTCCTCACACATGGACATCGACAAGGTTGCCTTCACCGGCTCAACCGTTGTCGGCAGGCAAATCTTGAAGGCTGCTGCCGCGTCCAACTTGAAGAAGGTTACGCTGGAGCTTGGCGGCAAGAGTCCCAACATCGTCTTCGACGACGCCGATATCGATAATGCCATTTCCTGGGTCAATTTTGGTATCTACTTCAACCACGGCCAGTGCTGCTGCGCCGGCTCCCGCATCTACGTCCAGGACACCATCTACGACAAGTTCATCGAGCGCTTCAAGGAGCGCGCACAGAAGAACAAGGTCGGTGACCCCTTCCACCCGGAGACCTTCCAGGGGCCCCAGGTCTCGAAGCTCCAGTTCGACCGCATCATGGGCTACATCGAGCACGGCAAGCAGGAGGGCGCCACCGTCGAGATTGGCGGCAAGCGCATGGGCGACAAGGGTTACTTCATCGAGCCGACCATCTTCTCCAACGTGCGCGAGGACATGAAGATCGTCCAGGAGGAGATCTTTGGGCCCGTCTGCACCATCTCCAAGTTCAAGACCAAGGAGGAGGTCATTAAGAATGCCAACAACACGACGTACGGTCTTGCTGCTGCCGTGCACACGTCAAACCTCAACACGGCCATCGAGGTGGCCAACTCGCTCAAGGCGGGTACCGTCTGGGTCAACACATACAATACCCTGCAGTAAGTTCCCCCCTTTCCCTACTAAATTCAACAAGCTAACGAAATCAGCTGGCAATTGCCCTTCGGAGGCTTTAAAGAGTCTGGTATTGGACGTGAGTTGGGCGAGGCGGCGCTGGACAACTATCTGCAGACGAAAACTGTTTCAATTCGACTTGGGGACGCTCTTTTCGGCTAAGGGACGAATGGTAACGAGTGAGGTGGGATATCCTGCGAAAGAACTTTGTTCTGAATGTATATTATAGGAAAGCCTGAATGATAATGTGATGGCTTATGATAGATGTGGTTCGTGGCTTGTGGGTGCTGTCCTTGATAGTGCCGTACTTATGCAGAGACGTGATATCCGAAGTGAGGTCCACACTCTCCACCTTGCCCTTGTACTGCGGCTTTCCACGTCCGACTGAACATCCGGCTGCACTTCCTCTGTAGGTGGAATTACCTACCCGGCACAAGCCAACTGGCTACGACCTAATATTGCGACAGGTAGAATTTTCTTGTTAAACATACTACTATACGTAAAGGCGCGCTACAAAGCTAATTGCAGGACCTCCTATATTGCTGCGCCTGCTAGTTGTTTACATTAGATGTAGAAAACAGCAGTACAGAGGAAGTGCAGGGGGGTGTTCAGTTGGATAGATGTGAACAGAGGCTGTATATTCTACGTTTCTATGCGTTCTTGTTCTTCCTCTCTTGTACAATGTATCCACTCCACGTCTAAGCAAGGGAATATACACCCACTCATCCCCTTCGCACCTCCCCAAACACCCTCCTCAGGAACCATCCGCCAAAGCCCCTCTGATCGGGACTGCCCGTACAGCGCATGACGCGGTTCCCCCTCCTGGCATCCAACCAACCCCCGGCATCCCCCGGTACCTCATCCATGACATCCCCATCCTCATCACCACTTACATCGCGAACCACCTTGCCCCTCCTATCCACCACGCACACGCCCCTCGTCCACTGGCCCGCCGTCTCGATCCTCACATCCTCGTCCTGCGTAAACTTCCAACCCGGATCGTCGCTCGTGAGGACGTAGTAAATCGTCAAGGGGTCGTGGAGCTCGAGTGCGACGCGGTCTGGGTCCGGGCACTGGGAGAGGGAGAGGATCTTGTCGAAGGTTGGGTTGAGGAAGAGCTTGGACCAGTTGGATAGGGGCGAGGTGAGGAGGGAAGGGGACGAGGTGTGCGTGTGGAAGAGGGTGCGGGGGAGGAGGTGGTGCGATGTGATATCTGGGATTAAAGTTGGGGTTAGTGGCACAATGATGAGTTGTAATTCGAGGCAGAATCGTGGGTGGGTGGAGAGGTCAAGATCAACCCGAAAGAAGGAGAGGGAAACAAAAAAAGAGCAACACGAGAAAAATGAATGAAAGCAAACATACCCAACGGAAACATCTTCACCCTCAACCTCTTGCTCAGCGCCTCCGGGTACTCACCCAACCACTTCTTCTTCCCGTGCAGCACCGGCGGCATCGTCGTCTTGGGGTGCGGGCTCGTCAGCGCAAACACCCTCGCCGCCGCCACGCTATCCGCAAACACGTTGAATTCCGCCCCGGGAGTAATCTGGTTCCTGACGTTCAGCGCGCGTCGCAGCGGCGTGTCGGGTTGTTTTGTAAGGTGGAAGGGGGGAACGGGTATGTGCTGGATGGGGGAGGTGGGGGAGTGGAGGAGGGCGAGGTTCGGAGGCTGTAGGGGAGACAGACTTTTTAAGAGGTTCTTTCTTCCTTATGGCAAGAAAGGAGGTAGGCGGACAGAAGGAATGGGCGAACCTACGTTTCCAGGGACATCAATAGCACCGCCCATGACGACAACCTCCTTCGCACGAAGGAAGCATTCCGGGTCCGTGGCGGCGGCCGTGGCAAGGTTCGTCAGTGGTCCGATGGCCACAATGGTAATGGTATCCGGTTCGTTCTCGCGGAGTAGACGGAGAATCTCCAGGTGTGCGGGTTGGAGGGAGGGAGTGAAGAGGGAGTGCTCTTCTTCCACGGCTCGCAGCTCGGCCGCTTGTTCGGGCGTCATGTTCTGCGGCGCCGGCTGGAAGAGTGACTTCCACGTTTCTTTGGGCGTGAGATGGGGGTGCTGTAGTTTTGTCATTCGTTCAAGTACGTCCCTTCCCATACAGACGGGGGACAACGTACGCTGTGATGAATGCCTCCCAGGCCATCAATACCGTCTACGTCCATTAGCTTCACTTCCCTTCTTCGGAAAAGACACTCACGAAAGAAGTCGGCAACGAATAGGTGCTCCGCCAGAGGCTCCTCAGCGCCCACCGCAACTAGCAACCGTCAGTCAACTCGTCCCTCAAACGTCCCATATCCATACCAATAGGCTTCCTCGCCTTCAACGCCTCGAAGCCCTCCGGCCGCCCATTCTCCCTCCTCCATGCCAGCTCATTGTCAACGTGCTGGAAAAGCGAAATCACGTTCCTTAGACAACTAACCACAAAGGTTAATCGGTAACCCTTAGCCCCTCACGCAGTAAACCAAAAAGTACCGGAAGGCTCAAAGCAAAGGAGGGAGAGAGATGGTTTCGAAGACAAGAGAGAACCCACTTCTGCACATCGACATTCCCAAACTGCACCGATACCATCAAAACCTCGAGCTCCTCCGGTTTCGCTGAAAACGCAAGCAACATGGCCAGCACATCGTCCACGCCCTACATCCAACCCCGTTAGCTATATCCATCCACTTTCAATCCCCGCATCGCTTTTCACAATCGATGGAATTCGAAGTAAAGGCCTCAACAAACCGGATCAGTGTCGATAATGATACGATTGGGTGCCATTATCTCGCCCAGAACTAACAAGATGAATCGGATATTCTACCAAAGAAATGCGTTATTATGAAAAAGGTACCTCTCAGAAGAGAGAAGGTTGATAGACGATGACTAACGGATCGAATGCACCTGCGAGATTGGGCATAGACCGCGGTTGGACCCACCAATAAATAACCATGACGTAGACTAGCCTGTATGGCGGAGGGCATGCTGAGCATACCTAGGTACCGTAGCCCAGTTGTACCAAGTAATTGCTAGAGCACTTTGCAGGTGCCACCGCACCTACAAGAGAAACTCTTCGAAAGTTTATCGCTCATTGTCCATGAGAGTCCATGAGTGCAAGGATTGCAAACAAATATTTGAAAAGACAAGCTCGCAATGCCATATCCCAAACCAGGCGCGAAGCAATTGACAAAACGCCACTGGAATAATATCACAGTCTACAAAAGGACGAGACCCAGCCCCGGGACTCCTGGCTAACACACTGGCGCGCTCTCTTCTGCATACTCGCTTTTCACCGCTTCCCGCACTCATGACCCACTTTGACTACTTGTCTCGTTTCTCTCAAGGGCGCGGCCCAGTATCGTGTATATCGTTCATCTCCAACGCCAAAATGCTTGTGGAACAGGGGAACAACGGAAACATGACCATTTTTTTAATAGACCTTCTTTTTCTCGTCGACGGAGAATTGCCCAGGGCCCATGTTTACCAGAAGGAGGAGACCGCCACTGGGGGAGTGTTAGCTGGATAATAAGATACCAAGTAGCAAGGCACTTACACGATGGAGAGGATCTGGAAGAAGTCGTACTTGGCGAAGTCCTTGTGCGGGTGGTGCGGGTGAAGCGTCCAGAAGTTGTTCACCAGGATGTTGAAGATGCTCAGAATCACAACCAGCATGATGGCGCTGAACTTGGCTTTGAATCCAACCACGACCATGACGCAGGCCACGAAGCCAATCAAGCTGACAATGATCCTCCAGAAGTTCCAGTCTCCCCGGAAGACGAAGCCAACGAAGAGGAAGATGAGCAAAACACGACCAGCGAGCTGGAAGTACATCCTCCTGTCTTTTTCATCGAGTGTGGGAAGGCCAGCGGGAGCGAACCTCTTGCGTACCCACGAGTCCGACAATACCATGAGGAGTCCACCCATAACGGACAGATTGCGGAGGAAGAAGTTCAGGTCGAAGACGAGGCCGTATCCAATTCCTTGAAGAATGACCACACCAATAAGCCCAATAACACCATAATCGGAGTGTTTGCGAGTAATGATTTGTACGGAGCAGACCGTCATGGCGATGACGTTTACGATCAGAAACAGGTGTGTGATGCCAGTAGGAACTATCAATCGCATGTCAGCAGAGTTCCGACAGTCGCTAGATCACAGAAGGCGCCATACTGTGTCGGTAGTCGCGTAGGTAGGTAAGTTGATCTTTCCATTGGGTGATGATTCGTAGGGCGTCCTCTAGGAAAGTTACCACGATCAGGAAGCGGCCCACTGCGGGCAAGTATCTGGAGTCGGTCAGTTCCATTGCTCGCGTGTCGGTTCCAATCCGGTTCATAAGGTGACAGATGGACCGACAGCGGATCGGGAGGTGCTCACGGCTTCACAGGTTCCGACAAAGTATCAAGGAAGTCCTCAATCTTGCTCGTCTGCTCGCGGATCGCATCCAGCGGGCTGGGGTCGTTTGTGTTGCCATCGCTGCGTCCCGCATTGCCGAAGGGGCTCTGGTTGCCCAGGTGGTAGCCAGCCGTACCGCGGATCTGCGCCATGGTACTAAGAGTAAGATAAAGAGTCGAGCGGGGCAAAGAAGAGGGTGTTGGGCAGGCGGTCCCGGGTTTTGGTGTTTTTTGAAGCTGGTCGTTGGGCTAGGAAACCGTGTCCTTCCCAGCTTAGTCAGGAATTGCCCGCATAGATCGAGAAACACGCCGCGGTTTGGGTTAAATCTTGCACACTCACCGTCTAGACTTTTGAATCACGTTCCGATATTAATAGTGAAACCCCCAGTTTACCGATTGACTCGTTGCAGCCGCGTGATGCACAATCGTCGTATAGAATGGAGAGCGTTTATGACAGCCGGTGGGCAAGCTGGCTCCAGCAGAAGCTTACAGGGGTTTGCGCTATGACGATATCAAAGACCCTCGGATGCCAGATGTCCATTTCCAAAGCCCTTCACAGGAGCCGAGCGCGAACGCTTTGCATCGAGCTCGGCCCAGATACAGCTAGTTACCGCACTTGATCAGGATATCAACTGTATATACAACCACCTCGATTTTGTATGACAGTAAGAGCGCCATCTGCTGCGACTTCGACGTTGCCAAGACTTCAATTGAATGTCTTGGCCTCGATCTCGTACATATAGAGGAGATTCGAGGATACATCATAGCAGTGTCGCCCGCACTAATCACAGGATTAGAATATGAAGACTCTGCCACTAGGAAATTGAACATTGAAGGCACATATTTCCATTACTACTCTGGCAATGGCAAGCAATGTGGGAAGGAAAAATATCATAGTGACTGAATAGCAAATGGCAGCACACTGAGTGTTGCTACAGGGAACAAAAGAAATAGAGCGCCCGCCGTAGAAATGATATCCTCCACCCCTAGACACCTGTCCAGATTTTGGTTTGAGTTGGCTGCTAGTGGCCAACAGAAGATGCATTGAAACACCACCGTCCCTGCTCGTCCAGAGAATGAGACCACTGTCCACAATGTTGTACACGCAAGATACACCGCTAACAACCTGCCTAGGCGAAAACCCTTGTCCAAGTATTGCAGCCCAATCGAGCCTTGAACGTTCCTTAAGAACAGTTCCTAAAATGCCAAAACTGGATCCATGAGACAAGAAGGATTCGACCAAGCGAGATGCTGCTGCGGTTGGCTGGAGGGGTAGAAGCTATGATTACTCGCTTCATTTGATACCTCCGTCTGGCCTTTCTCGATCCACCTCTTTACACCACACCCCAGTCGGAGTCCAAAGGATGAGCGACATCAGGGGCTCCCAGAAGATCGTATCGGGACTGCGGGACCTTGTTCTCAACCTTGGGAGCGGGAGCCCGCTTGACAGGCACAGCCTCGACGGGAGGACTGACAGTCCCCTTCTCGGAAGTCGAGTCCTCTGCAGCCTTGGGCTTCCTCTGTTTCTTGCCCTTGGGTACAGTCTCCCAGGCCGAATCCTCCAAAGCCATCTTCAACTGAGCCTCCTCGGACAGCCCGTTGGCCCAGTCCTGGCCGTTCGCGCCAGCTTCGCTGGATGCCGATGTCGAGTTGGCCTCGGGCTCGAACGTGTCGAGCAATGGTGCCGTAACAGTCGAAGCAGGACGTCCAGACGCCCACGCATTCGTAGCGGGGGTTTTGGAAGACAGGACACCGTTCTTAGCCGGCTCACCGCGCGCTTCGCGAGCGGTACGACGTTGGTTCTCAAGGAGCACCTGGCGCTTCTTCTCGTCAGCCTCGCGCTGCAGCTTGGCCTCCTCATTCTTCCTCCGGTTCTGGCGCTGCTTCTTGGTCTCGTGCGGCGTCTCCGTTCGCTGCTGTTGCGGCTTGCTTGGTTTGGCTGGCTTCTCGGAGGGGTTGATCTTCAGCACCGCCGGAGCGGCTGGACCCGGCGCCAACATATCGGAGACGTCCTTCCCGCTGGGAGCCTTAGCGCCGCCAGTCGGGGACGTGACAGGAGACTGATCATCATCCGCCTCCGCACCGGTAGTGGAGGCGCCGGAGAGGTAGGTTTCGGCCTTTTCGGTAGCGCTCTGGACGGCCTTCTTGACAGGTTTGCGAGGCGCTTTCGCCTTGGCCTGCTTGGCGGCGGACTTGGATGCGGTCTCCGCCTCTGCCCATTTGGTGTCACCGCCCCCAGTCGTAGTGTTGTTGGCCCTAAGGAGGGAACGGCCTCGCTGGCGACCTCCTCGATGGTTGGGTTGGCTGTAATACCACCATCCGGCACCCACAAGTGCCAGGAACACGGCCCAGCTCGTGAGTTTGTCCATCATGGTATATCAGACGTGGGAGGTAGGAAAGGTACCGATTGATTGTGCGGATGAGACGACGGCACAGATCACTCGAGTCACTTGGGAATGCCTCCACCGCCGCAAGCCTTGTGAGCAAGGGGATCAGGCCAGGTCCAAGTAGCGGTGGGTTGGCTAAAGGCGGAACGCAGCGGTTGGGAACACCTGGGGGATGCGGAGGGGAGGTTGTAAGGCAGCGTCGTTTGAATTCGAGTTGAAGAAGTCAATGGAAATTCTGCCGGGATGCTCCCGCTCGAGATCGAAAGCACCGAAGTTCGTAGGCGGGTTGACGTCGAGGACCAAGTGGCTCGGAGCTCCTCGAGGCCAGATATGCGGTTCCTCGCAGCTCGGTGCTCAAGTCCCCCGGCAGGGGCCGTGTGAGACAGAGAGATAAAGCAGAAGTTCGGTGCAGGGTCAAGAAATGAAGAAGAACTGCTAGAGGTAGCGGTTGGAGAGGAGGAAAGGAAGGAAAGCGAAAGGGGTTTGTTGGTGAGCTTGAAGAAGGGAGGAAGGGCGACGACGTAGAGCTGCTGATTGGGCCTAGCGCGCCAAGCCAATGGCCGGGGGGGTCACCTGCGTCAGGACAGGAACCGCCGAACAGTGAATCGTTCTCACCACACGCCGTCCCCTGAGCTTTCACTCAGGCAATTGCTCGAAATAGGTCCCGCGACGCCTCTCCTTATTGCGCCGAGATAATCAATGCACTAGTGCGCGGGCACGGAGAGAGTGTTGAGAGAGGTCTGATACTGCACAGTATGGGGCAAGCTCGAAGATGCCACCTTGCCCTTGCGGTCGTTCACGCTGTGGGACCGCGCTTGAGCCCTAACGGAAATCCACTGCGTATTGACGGGACACGGCTCTCGGCATTGTCGTACCACGTAAACAATTTCGATAAGACTATGCTAGAAGACCTCTCTCCCTGACAAACCAGAGTCGAAATTCCAGTGAGGTAGACCACATGGTGTGTTGAGAGGGTTGAGGGGGCTTTAAACGACTCTACCTCCGCACAACTACTAATTCTACATCAAGCGTTTATATATGTGCCTTTCCCTAGTTCTACAACTACATACATGCACTAAGTTTACTCATCACGTGTTACTACAACAGCCCCTAGGTATGTACTGCAAGATTAACCAGTAAATCACTGGTTAGAGATCGTTGCACGTCAGAAAGTCCAAACATTGGTAGATACGCAGAAATTAAGCTTTTGCTCGTAGCTATCTACCTTGCCGAAGTCTGTCTGTACCAGGACACTTCGACCCTATGCGAATGACCGTAAAACGCCAGAAACCCACAGAATTGGGATCCCGGACCCATTTGCCATTACACCATTGCCAGAGTCGCCACACCTTGCCCATCATAAAACATTACCTCGACGCCATTCATATGACCTTCATACAAACTCCACATTACTCTTCATCACCTTCATACAAGATCAGTCTTGTCATTCTTCATACAACATGCCACTCCTTCCTCAGTGCTCCCTCGAAACAAACCTCTTCCTTTGAGGCAACCCCTGTCCTTCTTCCTCTTCGTCGTCATCCACCTTCCTCTTCACACCCGCCACACTCCCCTCACTCCTCCCACTCTCGCTCTGGCTCTCGCTGTGACTCTCACTCCCACTGCGACTCCTAATCGGTGTAGGTATTTGCACCGGCTGCGGCACCGCCTGCACCGGCTGATGACACTGCGACGCACCCATCCCCCTCGCCTGCTGCGACTGCGACGCCGCCAACTGCTGTCTCGCAATCTGCATCTGGCGCGCCACGTCGCCCAACGCGGGACCCACGACGTTCCTATCCCCGAAGATGGTCGCGCCGCAATTCACAGTAATGTGCAGACGAGGCATATGCGCTCTGGCAAGACCGGGACTTGCTGATGGTTGCCCTGGTGGACCGTACATCATTGTGTGCAGAAGGCCTGCGATGCGCGGTGCGTCCATGGGAGGTACCGAGATGATGTTGCCGGATCCTCGTATTTGCGTGGTAGAGTTGATGGTGACTTCGGGGATTTCCTCGGCATCGTCCTTATCGTCTTCGGATGGGTCGTAGGCGTTTCGCATATTTGGGATGGCAGCGGCGGGGTCGACCACCATGTCGTATGCCGGGGGTGCGTAGTTTGGGGGTTCTGGTAACGTTGTTGTGGTGGTTGTGGATGCGAAGGTAGAGTGAAGTTTTGCGTTGTGCAGGACCGGGTTGAAATGAGGGTCCATATGTATGAAGATCGGAGCCGGTTGGGTGAATATATTTATTTATTTATTTTTTCTGGAGGGATGGCCGGAGACGGGATGCAAGCAGTGGCGATATTGTGACCGGAGTAGAGCTTTTCCCTGAGCTATCTGCCGATGGGGGTTGAGACGGGCACCTCCGTACTGTGAGAATGACAGTGGCGTGATGGTGATCTCAGGTTCACAGCTTCGCGATCAGGCGATATTGGGGAAAAGACAACCGGGAATGGAATTGAGATGCAGTTGCCGACAATGGGGCGCGGCGGTGCTGTCGGCTTGTAAATATGCGCACAGCGATGAATAACAGAGTGGAGAGACTCACTAGGTATGTCTTGCTCTGAAAATACAGGTGTAATCGCACATCCACTTTGGCTGAACCCCGGAAACAACCAGCTTCTCACCTAGTCAAAGGTTCAATGAACTGCAGAGAGCAAAGAACCTTTCACCGACGGTCTCTTTCGCAGATTATATACCCGGCCTCTATTCACAGGTCCATCTGAAACGCATCGACAATAGCAAGCAGCATGCAACCGCACCGTGCTGAGCTTCCCTATTGTAGTGCACCCGCTAGGCCAAATGGGGCAGCATGTTTGACTGCCGCAATCCTGGGTCATAGTGACGCGTCCCTGCTATTCACCCATCTTCTCGTACAATAAGATCGGGTGGCGAGCTCCGGTTGGATAGCAGGCATACTGCAAGGCGGCTGTGAGGCGTGCGAATTTGTAATTGGTGCGGGTCGCATGCTCCATTTGGGCGTGAATAAGTTGGGTTGCTGCGAAGTTTGCGCTCGCTTCGCAGAACAATAGGTTCATCAATAGGATTGCCAAGACAAGGCCTGCGACAATGAACAATAGGAACAGCTGAAGCATGCTACGTACCCGCAAGTATTGTTCTTCAAACATGCTCAGGTGGATAAATGCATGGCCGCTACACGAAACGTGAAACCCCATTTCGCTTCTCTGTCGGTGGGAAGATTTGCGATGTGTTTGCGCGCAAAGAACAGGCTGAATAGACGGATTTGATAAATGTTTCGAGTATTTCAGATGGCGATACTTCTTCGGAGGTACCAGCAATAGGTCCAGATCAGATGCATGATCCTGTTCTTATCAAAATGTTGTGGCAGCTGCTTTTGTGCCTTTCCATATCCCGACGCCGCCGCTGAGAAATGCTACAGACACGGAATAGCCTAACGCCTTCGTGGCCCAGATGTAACCTTGGAATGGTCGCCAAGTCCAGCACAAATCTTTAGTCCCAAAAGAAGCCGCAGATGCATTCTTGTCAAAAACATGGCCCTTTGGATGTCGGCCTTATCTTGCATACGGTCGCACGTCGTAGGTCGGTCGATCGTAGTAGAAGAGGTTGGCGGACCACGGCGGCAATTTCTTGTCTCTCTCGTACAGATAGCCGCAGTTCGCACAGAGAGTTCTCGGGCCTTTGGGTCCATCCCGTACGGCCCAAACAGCAGAACCCCAGATAAAGCAGTGTGTGCATCGCCAGGTTTGTCGCTCCCTGGGATCTTGTTAGAGTACAGCGGCTCACGCATAACGTGTCAACTTACCAGTCTTGTAAGCCTCCCCCTTGCCCTCCATATCCCGACCCAGTATCTGGCGTCTCCCGACCGAGAGGACTCAAGCTCCTGAACCGCCTCTTCTTCTTACTCCGCTCGCCTCGGCCCATGCCCTCTTGCTGTTCGGGGTTCGCGAAGAAGTCGTTCTGGGGTGTGCCCGCCATGTTCGTGGTAGAGGAGAACCGCGCCGTCTCCCGGCGTAGCCGACGGATCTGCCGCTCTCTGTCGCCTTCTCTCTTCTCTATCTCTTCCTTTGATAGAATCTCGACCTTTGGTTCCCATTCATCACACAAGTGTTCATGATCGTACCGCCAGCCGGCGCCAATATATGGATCAACGGCGTCATTGTCAATATCTCCATCGCCCACAAGCCCACCATTCTCGCATGCCTCCTTCTTGAGCCGCAGCACGGCTTCGTAGATGGCGTGTGTCATGGCAGGCACCCACTCACCCGCAAGTCCAAGGTCCGCGCATGTCACTTTCGCAAACATCTCGGCGAACCCCGGGGGATGTAATAGCGACCATTCAAACTTGTCGCTGTACAGACGATTCATGAGGTTGATATTCAATGTGATTATGCAGCGATACGTATCGTCTGGGTTATGGAGGTCTTCCGAGGGGAGCGCTGCGGCTGTTGCAGTAATCCCCTGGGGGGCAGCTGTGGAGGCAGGATTAGCCTCCGCCGCGTCCGTTCCGTTTCGTGCGGGTATAGACGCGCCGTTTGTAGGTGGAGCTGCCGGCGTCGAGGTCCCGTCTCGTGAGATGGCTGGCAAACTTGGCTTGACCGCATTGCCATCTGGCCCCATCGTAGGAGCGGAGTGGAACAACGGGTGGAGCGCTACTCCTGCATATTCTTCCAATTGCTGTCGTATTTGCGTCGCAATATTCTGTATGAGGGCTCCCTTCCTGTCGGCGGGAAAGTCAAGCTCATCCACTAGGACTTTGGCAAACTGGTCCGGTGTTGTCATCGCTTCATGAAGGTTCCATAAGAAGGCATCCTTCAACCGATATGCTGGTGTCATGTCTGGCTGTTTATAGGCTACATGGTTCTCGTCGATGCCGAAATCGCGGGCATTGGCAGGCATCGGCAACGGCGCTTCAGGACGGAATGGTTGGACATCTAAGTCTATTCGTATGGGGATAAGTGTTACTGGAAGGGCAGCTTGAATCTGGACTTGCTTTTCCGTCCTGAGTATCTGTCAATCTTCTGTTTTGCATGCGCTTGAGGCAATGCCTCAACGTGGATGTAGTAGAACACTCACAGGGTGCGCTTCGGCCTTCCCATCCAATCTCGCCATATCCCTTGAACCTCTACTGGCGCGGAGAGTTCTTTTCCTAGGGCAGCAATCTGTGCAGACTTGTCCACATTTGATTCGTCTCTTCGTAGACTTCGCAATCCAGTCGCACGTCGCGGACCTTCGCTATCCTCAAAATCGTCATCATCGAAGCCGTCTTCCGCGTAATTGATAGCCGTAGTCCCACGCTTGGTGGTACGTGGTGGAGGGAGAGTATTGGACGGAGGGACAACAGGCGCAAGGAGGGAGTTGCCATATGCTCGCAGCCGCGGGGCATACGTCGATATGAACGCCTGTGGTGGCGCAGGCTTGCCGCTGGTCGTCAGCATGGTTCCTGTGATGCCCTTATGAAAAGTGAAGCCGCTCGGAAGAGGTCGCGACGCGTCGCACCCGCTCTTGCGATAGGAAAGCACGCGCACACTGCACACTTGCGCAGAGCGATGGATGTGTAGCCCAGATAAGTCGCTCTTCGATAGGGGCTTTTGAGCAAATAATCCGACGGTACAGTTGTTGGCGCGTCTTGAAGTTGCGGTCCAGCAGCGGTTTCTTCAGAGGGAGAGCTGCTTGTGCCAAGGCGCTTGTCCTTATCGGCTCTAGCCGCTCAGAGCCCTGGACCTCACTCCATTCACCTTTGATATTCACGAGCGCCCGTTCTACATCCGCGCCATCTACGCAACATGCCCCCGGGTAGTCATAATGTCCCCGGAAAACAACGCGTTCTGGAGGCTAACTGCTGCCCAACTTTCTCACAGCTCAATACTCTCTCATCACTTTGATAGGGCCATGGGGTAAGGCAGTGTCAGGATCGAGGTCATGAGCTTCGCATCTTTTGGAGGACCTCACCGTCTGCAGAATTTCGACGACTCCGAAACCACACCGCGCATTTGAGTCATACGTTTTACTTTTCTCCAGCTTGTCCACGAATGGCCAATACGTCATGTCCTCTCACCACTTTCGACCAATCGTTTCTTATATTGTCTTTTAACAGCGCTTTCTTTCACTTCGAATATCCATACGCCCACCGCACAATGGCGTTGTGGCCTTTCACTATTGCCTGTTCGCCTTCACTCGCGTTCTAGAACAACAATGTGGAAAATAGTGTGCACCATTGTTCCTTCACGTTCGATTGTGTCTGTACTTTCCAGGCACCAAACCGTCCATATAACGCCCTTGGTCTATCCCCACTCACTCCCCAGACAACCACCAACATTCATTCCACAACCTCAAATTCACACAGAAGTTTCTGACTACGCACGAATCGGCGCACTTCAAACTTACTTCGCAACCCTACAAAGAGCTTTCCTGTGGTTCGGCGCAAAATGATGCACCTCGGCGCAGTTCTTCTGGCCATGGTCCCGGCGGCCTACGCCCACATGATCCTATCGAACCCCAAGCCCTATGGGAAGCCCACCAGCTCTCCGCTCAAGCCCGACGGCTCTGATTTCCCTTGTCAGAACGTTGAGTATACCGTCAATACCATGAATCACTATAAAGCTGGCGAACAAGGAATTAATTTGGAGTTCGATGGCGGCGCCGCACATATGGGCGGATCTTGCCAGCTGGCTTTGAGTACCAATATGACACCGAATAAATCAGACACGTGGAAGGTCATCTATTCCATTGAGGGTGGATGCCCCCTCTCGGCCATTCCCTTCACGATTCCCAAGGAGGTCCCCAATGGCGAGTTCTCCATGGCGGTAACCTGGTTCAACCATATCGGCAATCGCGAGATGTACATGAACTGCGCCCCTGTCACTATTTCCGGTGGCAGCAATGATTCCGCTGCTTTCGATAAGCTGCCCGATCTGGCACTGGCGAATATCGCATTTGGCGAAGGGGCGAACTGCAAGACTACCGAGGGCTTCGACTATACTTTCGACAACCCTGGACAGTACAGTACGCGCATTGGGCCTGGACCCTTCAAGCCGCTGTGTGGTGGGGAGACAGTTCCTGGACAGCCCGGACAGCCTGGTCAACCCTCTGTTAAGCCCCCCAACGACGGCAAATATACCCCTCCGGCCATCCAAGCACCCGCACCTCCGCAATCAGTGGCACCGACTTCCCAAGCTCCGGCTCCGGCTCCGGCTCCTACACGTTCTGTGCCTGGATTTCTGGGTCCGGAGCTTCCCGCAGCCCCGTCTGAGCCCGGTGTGGTCACTTCCACCGTTCGAACCCTCGTGACCGTCACAGCGACCGGAAAGCCAACCTCTAGTACTCCAGCGGCCACTACGTCTCAGACCGGGGGCGCACGTGAGCCCTCTGCTACCACGGCTCCTCAACCAACTGGCTTGCCTTCGACTCCTGGAGGCAGCGCGAATGGGAACACTTGCGCCACTGACGGCGCCCTTCTCTGCAATGGCGACACTCAGTTCGGTCTGTGCAACCATGGTACGATCGTCTGGCAAGCTGTCGCTCCGGGTACCAAGTGCGTCAATGGCGAAATCACCCGTGCTAAGCGCGACTACACTCATCGCAACCAGCGCTCGGCTATCTAGATGTTCCCAATGTCTGAGTGAATTTCCTATGGTCTCGCGGGCCCCATGAGGGGTTTGCAATGTGCATACGCCTGCCCTTAGCAGGCTGGGGGTAGCGTACATATTTCTTATCAGCAAAATTGATGTTCATTCTCTTGCATATGCATCACAAACGTTTGTGTTTTTACCTGATTCCTATTTGTGAAGAAGAGTGTGACACTTAGGTACCGTGATGGAATAGCATCTTGCGTTTACTACTCCACCAATTCGATGGCGCAGAAACCATCATTTTCCTTTTGTCTCTGAATTCCTCTATGCCTGCAGCTGTGACAGATTTGGAAAGGCATGTCAACCTTGAAGATATCTAGACATGTTTCTATCTTGCCTTCCCTTGACCAATGACTATACCCCTAGATGCAATTTTTCTACAGCTCGTTGCGCAGGGTAGGCTAGAGGGAATAGTTGAAGTAGTAAGCGGAGCCCGAAGCGCTATTTGCCTGCTTTATTAATTCATCCTCTGTTCACGGATTCACAACCCTGCTTAGTCATTATTGTTGTCACTTCTCTTGGCGATCTAATCTAATCTCATCTCAACCCCCTGCACGCCAGAGGCCACCGCAGCACCAAGCTTCCAGCCCTTGCTCGGAATCCCGAAACGTCGCAGCCATCATTCACTCTTCATAATCTTGCCCCCTTTTGCGCCGTTGTTGCCCCCATAGCTATCCTTACACATTCCACCACTCACCCGGCATTTATAGAACAGAGCAAAATAATAATGGTAAGGGAGCTGTCCCTTTCGCCGCCACGCGTGCAATCCCCGCCTTCCGAGAATCTCCCGCTAACGCGCGACTTCCCCATTCCTAAAGGCCAACGTAATAGCGAATTCCGGCCACGATGACATGATTGTATGTTCTTCTCTTGTTCTCTGGCAGCACCACTTCTCCGACAACTCCTCAACTTCACCGCGCGTCTACCACCGCCGCAACTACCAGTCCCACCGTTCATCCAATCTCAAAACTGCCCAGCTGCGGACAACATATATCATTGCACGAGGCAACACAACGACACTCGACACATACACTTCGAATCGGGTCGGGTGGTAGACGTTGCAACGAACAATGGCGCAATTCGTCGATCTGCTCTCCATGGACACTAATGATATACAGCATGATGCCGTGCTGGACTACTACGGCAGGCGGTTAGCGACATGCTCGTCGGACAAGACTATCAAGATCTTCGAGGTGGAAGGCGAATCGCACAGGCTAGTTGAGACATTGAAGGGGTACGTGGATTGTGGAAATGTGATGAGAGGATGGGCGGAGTTGCTAATGGGCTTGTTGCAGACATGAGGGCGCTGTTTGGTGTGTTGCATGGGTAGGCATCTATACCTCCTTCCATACCTCCATTCAATCTTTAGAGTCGAAGAAGTGATTGCTAACTCTCTCCCTTCCAGGCACACCCCAAATACGGCCCCATCCTCGCTTCCTCCTCCTATGACGGCAAAGTCTTCATCTGGCGCGAATCCCCGCCGACCTCCTCATCCACCACCCCGCAATGGTCCAAAATCTACGAAGTAGCCCTCCACACCGCCTCCGTCAACCTCGTCGCCTGGGCCCCCCATGAAGCAGGCTGCCTCCTCGCCTGTGCCTCCTCCGACGGCAATGTCTCCGTACTCGAATTCAAAGACAACAACTGGTCGCACACAATCTTCCAGGCCTGCGGCTCCGGCGTTAACTCCGTCAGTTGGGCTCCTGCGGTTGCTCCCGGGCAGATTCTGAGCGCGAGTGGGGCCCAGGGCCAGGCGCAGAGGAGACTTGTTACTGGAGGCAGCGACTGCCAGGTCAAGCTCTGGGAGTACGTGCCGGAGACGGGGACGTATCAAAATACGCAAATTCTCCCCGGGCATACGGACTGGGTGAGGGATGTAGCGTGGAGTCCGACTGTGCTGAGCAAGTCGTACATTGCGTCGGCTTCGCAGGATAAGACAGTGAGGATCTGGACGTCTGCGGATCTGCGTATGTGTGACCATTGAACAAGATATATGGGACTAGATTGCTAATCCGGATCTAGGGGAATGGAAGTCTACAGTGCTGAACGTCGACGCTGTGGCGTGGCGCGTTAGCTGGAGTCTAAGCGGAAATGTGCTGGCTGTTAGCACGGGAGATAACCGCGTCAGTCTGTGGAAGGAGAGGTTGAGCGGTGGATGGGAGTGTGTTAAGACGATTGAAGAGTAAGCCCGACGTTGGAGATTGTACCGATGCTTGGGTCGGACACGAAGGGCATTGGAGGTGGGCGGAAGCTTGAAAGTAGAAGGGTTTAATGAGGAGGAGACGGCGTGAGGAGAGGTGGATGCGAGACTCAGCGATTGAACGGGAGCTGTACAAGGATGGTCTCTTGTAGCGAGTGGTTCATTTGGCTTTGACTGGTTTGTGCCTGGCTGGGTTGGTCAAAAGAAGCTATGCGGACATTCTCCCGTGGCGCACGTCCAGCTCCCCCGAGAATGAAGATAGAAGATCGTATATCTATCATGCCTCCTTCCTGGGGTGTCATCATAAGATTTAGGACGAGGCCAACAGTCACCCGTTTCGTGATTTGCAGGGATCTCCGCTCCAGTAGACACCACATTTAACTGACAGTCTCTAACGGCTTTATCTGAAAGGATCATGCAAGCTGCCCAGTACCCGGCCTGTTCCTTCTTCTGCACTGAAGGACTGTCAGGCTGCGTATCGTCATCTGTCCGATGTGTAGATCTGATTGAAAGATCACACCGGGCATAGAGACGCGACCGCCTCTCCACAGAGTACCGGTGCTCTGCAGCAGGTAAAAATTGTCATCGCACTCGACCTCACTTCTCCCCACCACCCCTTGTGTACTGATTGAATAGTGCTCAACCCAGTCACTCAGCACGTCACAGACATACAGGGCAAGTCAGCCCCTTAAGAAAGCATGTACCCGTCAACACTGACCATTCATGCTCCACGCGTCATGCAAAGAGTGTCGCCACTTCGCATCTGCGTACTGCTCTTCCGCCATGCACACTGTTCATGCTGGACTAACTCATCAAGTTATACAAAAGCCGCATTTCCATTCCATTTCCATTTCATGCTGTCCTACATGCAAATTCGAGAGAGCAAACCCGAGACCGCACCAGGGAAAGAGGGCAATCCTGCCCGCAAATCATTCACCAGCAGCCATCCATTCATTCGCTCGTGTGCCATATCTAAGACCCGAAGTGCAGCATGTTAAAAGGGGAAGAAAAGAAAAGAGCTTAAGTGGTAGAAGAAGGAATTGGTATTTGTTCTCCGCCACGTGGCACGCCCCATGTCCAGGGTAGATTGTAGAAAAAAAGAAAAGATGACCACCGCCCAATCCCCGCTAGAACGAACGGAAGTATCCAGAATTCCCCGAAATCTTGCAGTACTTCATGCTTTCCGGCTATCGATGAATATGTGCAAGGATATAAAACTGAGAGACTGCAGAGAAAAATGTGAAACCATGTCAAAAAAACCTAAAAGGACTCGGAGCATGCGGCAAAGTAAAAGTGAATGCATGAGACGGTATATCCGGGTATCGTGTAAGGGCAAAATCGTCATCGTATATGTCCTGGATGGCAAGAGAGGACTTCTTTTTGGACGGTGGATGCACGCGGCAGCTTGCAAGAAATCAGGGTCCGTATGCTCGGGGCATACTGCTGCTCGTCATTCACGGAATTAGTCACTGTTGTCCTCAGCGACAGAGACACTGTCCAAGTAATCGACAGCCCACCAGATGAACGGCCCGCTGTTGCATCCCTTCAAAGATGTCAGTCCTCAATTACTTCGACAACGATATGGTGACACCTACATAGTCAGGATGATTGGGGTCAGGAGAAGCATTCCACCATCGTCCAAGTATGATGCGACCACCAGGGAGGACAACGCCTTCATATGCCCACAGATCGTCGGTGTCCACCTGGCTATAGTCCGGGTTGAAATGCTTCATCATCGTGATGCGTTGCCAGCCCTTGATGCCGTACTGCGGGGCTAGGGGATTGATCCAGCCCGATGCATGGAACTCGTCTTTCGCATCGACGCCCTCGCCTTGGATCCGAATGGACTTTGGGCATGTATCGGCACCTGCACGTTTCTGCTGGGCGCGCGTTCGCGGGCTCACAGTCTGGCGGCGTGAATGTAATCGGGTCTCAAATTCATGGGGCCAGGGAATTTGGCCTTCATCCAGGGAACGTAGCTCCAACTCCTAGTGCAGGATTAAAATCAAGATCACCGCTTACCGAATCGCGATAAACCAGACACTCACCTGAATGGCCGAATCGGTGTCGATGTTCTTGTCGATGAAGATGTCATTGTCATAGTCCTCCATGCGATTCGAACGCCGCGCTTGGGCAATTGCGCGAATCTGTTCGAGCTCATGAAGTTCCAGGTAAGAATAGGTTCCTTTCCAGGATCTGGAAAGCTCGTAGGGCCCATCCACCAATGGGCCTTGCCAAGCCGAGGGACTCTGGGGAGCTTCAAGTTCTTGCATGAGAGACCGGAGGGTATCGTCACTGTCGCTAATCATATGACGGTGGAAGAAGCTGAAGCAGTGCATGACCCAGCGCATGTTGATCTCTACGTTCCCCGAACCCCGGAATATAGGCTCGTCCCGCATGTGCGAGTACACCATCTGTTGGCTGTCTTCGAAAGACAACAGGCCATACCTAGGGGGGTCGAAATTGAAGAGTAGTTGGGCGCACATCAGCTGGATTGCATAAAAAGGCTCCTCTGTAGCCACTGCAGAGTTTTGTCTGACAGGTGGCCTGAAACTGGCACAAAGGAAAGCTCTCGAGTTCTTGATAAACTGGATGATGCAGTCCTGGTTCGGGCAGCGTGGTCTACCGTTCGCGTCAAGATAGTATCCGCCGCTGAACGACTCTACAGCCAGTTAGCGAATTCGACATCAAATGACGGAACGTATGCCGCAACTCACCGTCAATCAGAATTCGAAGGATATTCAGCACCCCTTTCTCGCGTCGCTCGTTTCCACGGGAGCCGAAGTCCACAACGGCACCGCGCCTCAGCCATTTGCTGCGTCTCCAATACTCAGTTCCCAGTTTCACGCTGTCCGGTGCCTTGCTGATGTCAAGTGCAAACTTGCTGCGAAACCGAGCATGCCAAAAACCGCCATCGATGCACGTACGTGTCAGCTGACAGACGGAGCGGAAAGCCCAAAGGTCTCGGTCGTTGTCCAGATAACCCGCGATCTGCCAGAGCATCTAGTCACAGTTAGTTGAACCCAGAAGGCGGGATAATGGCATCTCTACTTCAGTAGCCAGCTTGTGAAAAGCACCCTGCCTTGATGGCTGCTCGCGGTCTGCAGCGGACATATTGTGCTTGTTGGCCATACTATCCAACCTCAACTGCGAATGGTTTTGTCCTGCAGAAACGCTGCAGACCCTTGATATGCTATCGTGATGTCAAAATAGTAAGGCAACGGCCAGAGGTGAGAATGAAGAGGGTGTTTTGGCAGTCTGAGTCCCAAGTGATGGCTGTTTGCGGTGGGTTGTGGTAAGTGAGAAGTGTGCAGTCCCGCTGGAGCGGTGTAGCCACGGCCGCCGTAGTAATGGGGAAGCTTGAACTCGTCCGGGCTTGCTGCTACTCTACCCTCCGTGGTGGAGGAGGTGGTGTTAAGCGGGAGTGATGGGAGGGATGGAGGAGGTACGCAAACGCAGCGAGTCGCCTAAAAGCCGCCTCGACACGAGCCCTTCCGACGGCAAGGAAAAGCCAATGTTTAACCGAAGAACAGGAGGTAGAAAGGGGAATGGTGACTGAAATGAGAGAGTCCAGATGGAGAGTGATGGTGTGGGAGTAGAAAAGAGAGGAGGTGAGTGGAAGATGTAGCTCAGCTTGAGGGCGGAGAAGGAAAGCACGACCGATCGACCGCCGCTTTACAATTCGGACAGTGAATAGAAACTGGAACCTAGAATGTGAGATTGGAGTAGATGGTAGGAAAACAGATAAATCGAGCTCGATGTAAATGGAGCCAAAATATATGATGTGGCAGATACAACGGGGCGGACAAACGCTCGTTCCTCCAACTCCACTTACCACACACCCTGCCATCAGGCTCGAGACTGTCCAAGTAAGCATAAAGGAAGATAACCAGAGCCGAAGGAGAGGTTGAATTATATGGCAGGAAAAACGATGAAATGAACTCGATGTAAAGAGACTTCAGAAGATCATAACACAGCACACAAACCGAGACACCGCCCTACATTTACCCTCACCCTCCCACCAACGGCAACCCCATCACGACCGCCATCAGCGCCGCAAACCCGTCCACCCCAAACCTCCTAACCGCCGCACCCGTCGAACCCGGCGACGGCGCTGCCCCTCCCGTTGTAGCAGTCGGTCTCGCCCCATCCGTCCCACCGCCGTCCTTCTCAATCATCCAAATCTCCCCCGTAGCATCACTGCTGAAAAACAGCCTCCCCTGCTGATCCCACGCCAGCGCTACCGGTCGGAAGCATTCCCTCGGGCAGCGGGAGACATCACGGTTGGAGACGATGTCGACGGCAGCGGTGGTGCTATCCGGCGGGTCGGTGGGCGAGCCATTGGCAAAGGGTATGACGCTGAGTTTGTAGCCGACGGGGGCGTCGCGGTTCCTACATACACAGTCAGTGATCTAGCTTTCTCGAGATATTGAGTTAGCATCAGGGGAGAATACTTACCACGACCCATGGAACGTCACCCACGCCGCGCTCCCATCCCGATTGAACTTCACATCCAACGGCGCCATATGCGCCGCAAACGTCAACCTCGGCGCCACCTTCTCCCTCCTACAATACTCATCATCCACCGACCCATTCAGAGACCCCATTGCAAACTGCGTCCCCACCTTGATCCTTCCATCATTCTCCGGAATCGCACCCACATTCCACGCAGCATAACACTCCGGGTACCCAAAATTCCCACCCTGCTCCTTCGTCTGCGTCCCATTCAGATACCCATGGAAATTCAGCTCTTCCCCAGGATTATCCCGATGGATATCCCGACCCAATCGCTCCATATCGTCGACGCTGTTCTCCATCGAGTAGATCCCCCCCGTCACCGGCTCCTCCGCGATCCCGACCGAGTTCCTCAATCCCCAGCCGAGAAGCTTCCCGTCGTTGCGGAAACTATACGGCTGCGAATCTGGAGCCGGTTTCTCCGAGACGTTGAAGGCTTTGATGGTTGAGACGCCCGTCGATGCGTCCAGCGCTGCGGGATCCACGTTCGACGTGCTGCCCCTGCTGACGAGCAGCATGCCCTCTGCTTTTCTTGACATCAAAAGCGTTCTCGTGACGTGCCCGTCAGTCGGGCCAAAGTCGCCGATGACTTGCGTTGGCCGGGATGTGTTGCGGCCCGTAGAAGGGTCGTAAGCCCATGCCCAGACGCCGTCTGCGCCGGATGCGTAGAGCGTTTTGCCATCGGCGGAGAGGGCGATGCCGTGGTTTATCTGTTGGCAGGGAGTCAGATGTCGTCTCCTTCATCGTCATTCCACACAGGGAAGATATATAGATGTACATATATAAGCAACAAAGAAAGCTAGGAGAGAATAAGATATCCAAGACACAACTACACAAAACAAGACTGAAAACCAAAAAAAAAAAAAATTTGAGAAAAAGGAAAAAAAAAAAAAAAAAATTGAGAAAAAGAAAAAAGAAGAAGAAAAGTCGGGAAAACAAAAGAAGAAG